GGGGTTTTTTTTTTTTCAAAATTTTTTTGGAGGAAGGGAGGAAAAAAAAACCCTTTTTTTTTTTCCCCCCCCCCCCCCCCCCCCCATACTAAGATCATTTTTTCCCGAAATGGGCGGGGGGGTATGCGAACACGTGCTGCCTCACACACTGCCATCTACTGCATACTGCTGTAGTGAGTTCACCACTCCAACTTCAGCCCTGGCCACCGGAAAAATATTCCTCGACTATGGACCAAGTGGATCACGACCATCGACTGTTCATCATGTGCAATTTGTAAATTGTTCTGCGTCAGTCTGCGTACACTCAGGGTGACAGCGGCAATTGGTCAGCTGATGAGGTGGGGGGCTGGTGCCATGTGGGGATAAATAATGTGTTGTGTGTGTGTGTGTGTTGTGCGTGGGCGGTGATTATTTGCATCATTCGGTAAAGGACGGTTGCACAACGGGCAAGCAAGGCGGTGGGATCGTCGACAGATCCCTACTTATACCTAGCACCGGTGATGATAGAAGGTAAGGAGAGGTTGATTGAGTCAGCTAGTTAAGACGGTGTGTCGTTGCACATTGCAGGGAGGGTTGCTTCATGCGGGAAGTACGTCGAGGGATGTGGATGGAAATAAATTCAAATTTATTTCAACTTCTCCGAGCGAGAGCGGGACGCATATTATAATCATAGGATGCAGCTGTCTGTCTGTCTGTGTAGACTACTGTCCAAGCAGCAAAACCATGAAGTATAGTTTCCCGGGTACAGGGGTATGCTACACATACATACATTTTATTTACGGCTTCCTAAAACAAGGCCGATGCCGGGGGTTAACCTCCCTGGGGCACCCTCCAGTGGACGGTTTCATATTTGGTATGTATGTATGTAGTGTAGTTCGTTTCCCCACTTATATTTCCTTGGGATGATGTTTTTTTTTGGGGTGTAAAGGGGGAAAAAAAAAAAATGTGAATTATGTTTTTACCCAGGGGGGGGGGGGGGGGGGGGGTGGCATGGTCAATTTTCAGATTCGCATATTATTATCTGGGAAAGAAACTCACTCGCGTTTTTGGTGCATGTGTTGCGAAAACGTTCGCTGTATGAACCATTCATTCTCGCACAAACAAATTTATTTGTGCCAATAATAGCGCCAGGTTTCAGACTACAGTTGTTTTAGGCTGAGCTGGCGGCGGGATTGATTGAATATCGCAACATGTTTGGGGTACTACTGTAGGCACCCGATACTGCTCATTTACAGGGACTCTGGCGTGTAATTGTTACACACACTTCTCCCGGCCCTCCTCGCGCTTTGACAGTATAACAGAAGCACCTTCGAGGAAGAACTCCTGTCTGTGTGACCCCGGCTGGTGCGTCACACATTCACCGAAATGCGAAATATTCTGGCGCCCACAAAACATATCTAGACAGGACAACACGAAAAAGAAGTGGTACATCGTACATCGATTGAGTTGAAATTCATACATACATGTCTTCACCGATCCGCTTTTCTTACGTGTCATCTTGAGCCCACCATTCGTCTTGCGAGAGAGGAGGCGATATAACAATTCATTTGAAACACAAACATATATACGCAGTTACGACAACACTGTTGGTGGGGGAGGGGGGGGGGTGACGGGGGATCCCAATCTTGAACCACCACGTCTATACAATACAATAAACTTATCGCACCAACAACACGCGTACATAACGACATCTACCACCTCATGGAGCCCCTCGCTCAATACATCCCACACCCGTAACATACTCAAGAGCTCTCGAGAAGATGAACATGCTAGACAACGGCAACAGCTCCTTCCTACAGCATCCTCTCGCTGGCGGCACCAGACCCCACTAAAAAAAACATGCTTTACTACGGCGGAATAAGCGTGCATTCAAGGCAAGAAAATTACACCAAACACCCCACGTTTTCGCTTGGAAAGCAACACCTGACTCACACCTTGAAAGGCGCCTCGGGGGTAACCTCAACTAGTTGGGAAGCAATACACACCGCCGTACATCGAACACCGCGCGCCGACCTATACTCCCTCCTCGCTGCGGAAACACACCTCACACACACGCCGCCGTCAACATAGCTCGCCGCCTGGCCTCCACACCCGTTTCCTGCCATCCGTTTCTCTCGCTCAAAAGCTACGTGGCACACACAACAGAAATAAACCGTGGTATTTACAAGGGAATCGTTCAGGTGTCATACACGCACCCACGCACGCACCACCAAAAAAAAAAAAATTCAATCGATCCTGTCTCCCAGAACGCACAACCCCCCCCCCCGCTAGCCTGCCCGGCCCCCTCATCGGCAGTCGCCCTCTCCGCACCACCACTACTGCGTCTCGCTTGCGATGCATCTCGTTGCGAGACTCCCACTTCGCTTCCCACCGGACACCACAGCCCCCTCCCCAATAAGGGTAAACAAAGAATGACAACACTTAAAAAACACACCGAACCCTAAACCTACATCACACTTCCCCCTTCCCGGACACGGATCTCACGGAGCCCTCGCGCGGAGAGACCCGCGCGGAGAGAAACAGGCCTAAATAAAACACAAAAAAACAAGTCGCGGAGACCGTCCACCCGCCGGGGCAACAAATAAATGAATGGTGGCGCTGCGAAGAACTTTCGTAAGCCCGAACAAAAGACAACCGTTTGTGAGCCCGGATGAACAATCCTACACAGATACCTATAGCGGCCTTTTGTAGCCCGCAAGAGGAAATAAGAACCGACAGTTACTCATACCACGACCGGGGGCGGAAACACACGCACATGAAACGCCCGCCGCTCGCTGCCACCACCGGTACAAAAACAACCTCCACCCGTACACGACAACGGCGGTGCAACACACACCGTTTCGGGAGGAGGGCGAAACATGTACAACAAACACGCGCCGTCGGCCACAGCAGTTGCCACAATGTGTGGTGTAGCCGTAAACACCGAGCAAAGGAAAGGCGGCGAGAAGCTGGCCGGCCAGGAGTTTGGAGGGGTACTGTAGTGTCTGTCATTCAGGGCTTGTCATACGCCGCTCAGAGCACGTCCCCGTGTGGGGAGGTCAACGGCGAAGAAAACACTCGCCCCAACATGTTTTCTCGCCTCAGCACAACCGTGAACCCCCCCTCCATGAACTAGCTACCATTAACTGCCCACAACTCGTCGCCGCGCGAACACGGCAAATCAACCCCTCTCTGCGGATTGAAACGCAATATACTTCACGTCCGCAGTGGATCATGCTGCGGATAGATACCCAATATACTTCCACGTCCGCCACGGACCATGCCCGCCTTCAGCTTCAGGCCAGGGCAACCCTCTTCATCCCCCAGCGCTTGAGCTGCAGCGCGTCTTCCAGGAAGACGGCCGCGAGCTCGGAAAGCTGAGCGGAGACCTCTTCCAACGGCACCCCCGGCCGCCCCTGCTTCTCGAGGTAGAACCTGCCGGGTTGGAAACAAAAAAACAAACGGGTGAAAAAGCTGGTCAGAACACGCCAACTCAATACTTTATTTGGGTACCTGTCCGAAACTGCGCGAGTGTTCGACCGCACCGCCCCTTGACCAACTCTCATCGTTTCACAGACAGGAAGTTGCCACAGCCAAAAAGGGTGGTGTTTGGGTATACCTCGTCGAGAGAGGGCTAACTTTCCTTGGACCTACCGGCTGGTTTTCGATAGCACCCTCTTGGTTGTTGGAGCAGTCGAGATGTGGACTTTGGTCCACGGCATCACTCCCACAGTCACGGAATGTCTAAGAAGGACGACGCACAATCGATCTACTACTGCTCTGGCATTGAAATACAAGTTTACTAGTGCACCATCTATGTAGAGCATGCAGCATCCAGGTGTGAAATGCTCTACTATATGCACGTGCGCGGACTGGGAGGCAAGGGTTAAGCCCGAAGGTATCATCAGCGCTAACGGCACCTACCCTCACACGCAACCACACCACGGACAAAATCTACTGCCAGCGAGACCGTGATGAAAAACTACTGCCACCGCAAAGACGTACAACAACGACAGCAGCAGTAACGACAACGACAACAACAACAACATATATCACAACCGCCGCCAACACAACCCCCGAATCAAGCAACAAACTCACTTAATCTTGGGTTCCGTTCCGCTGGTCCTCAGCGTGGCCACCACCCCTTCCTCCTCGAACTTGAACGTCAGGAAGTGGGCACCTCCGGCAACCACGGGGAGCGAAGGCTGGCCGTCGGGTGTCTCCGAGTCGAAGCCGTGCCCCTCGGCGAGGTCCCTGACGGCCGAGACTCGGTAGCCGCCGAACGAGGAGCGGTAGCTTCCGCTTCCCCGGAGGCGTTGGAATATCTTGGACACCACCTGCGTTGCCAGAGTCGGGGGAAGGACGTCGTTGCAACAACAAAAAAAATATGAAAAAGAAGACTGCGTACAGATTTTCGGTTCGATGATGTTCGCTGGGCTCTTCGAGTCAAGCGCACGTCGGCTGCTGTGCGAGCTGTGTATGTTAGGCAGCAAACAGGTTTTTGTAGTTTTGGTTCGTTGAGGATCTCCGAGATCTCCGAGTCAACAGGTCGTCAGCTGATTGCTTTTTGAGCAATCGTCGCAACCGGCAGCTTATATTTTTCATCTTGCATTGCATCACCCCTTGATGACACTGCTGCTGTGCTCTCATGAGCCAACTCCGGAGGGGATCACTTGCATAAAAAAACAACTACATAAATGGTGGATTGTCACCTCGTACTCTCGGCAAGCCTGTGCTAAAAAAGAACAACTTCCACGGGAACACAAACACACCTCCGTGTCTTCGCAGCGCACGTAGCCGTTCTCCTCGGCAAACTCGCCGTAGCGCTTGTGCAGGGCCTGCACACGCCTCAGCAAGACAGACGAAACGCTCTTCTTGCTCTTCTGCTCTCCGGCGGAGCCGTTGTCGCCCAGCGCTGTCCCTGCCGGTGCCGCTCCTGGTGTCGCCGCCGCCGCCGCCGCCGCCGCCGTCTCCACTGCTGTCGCACCAGCCGTCGCCGACACGGGAACAACCGAGGAAGGGTTCGCTGAACCGTCCCAGGAACAGTCGCCGACCGCGGAGGGAGAAGGAGGGGGCGACGCCCTCACGGTGGAGGGCGAGGGAGGGGGGATGTCCGACGGGGTCCCCTTGCTCTTCTCAACGCCGCCGCCGCCGCCGTCTGAGAGGTTCGTCGACGGTACGGTTGCTGCTGCTGCCTTGACGATGCCGCTACCGCTGCTTCCCGAGCTACCGCTGCTTCCCGAGGGGGTCTCGACCGGGTCAACGGTACGCCCACCGTCCGAAAATCCCAGAGACGAGGAGGAGGAGGAGGAGGAGGAGGAGGAGGAGGAGGAGGAGGAGGAGGAGGAGGAGGAAGTGCACGCTGAAGGTGAAGAGGACGGTGACCGCAGCGTCAAAGAAAGGGGCGAGGCGGACGTGACGGCTTCAGCTTCCGCTGCTGCTGTTGCCGCCGCCGCCGCCGAAGTCTTGACCTCGTCTTGGCCGCGGAGAGCTACCAGCATCTCGGCGAAGAGGGCCGCGGATGACAGGCCGTCCTGGAGACGAGAGAACGCGTGCGTTTGTTAGGCCAGCATGCACGGAAACAATGTCAGCAGGGGCAAAAGACATCGACGGGTGTTACATGGCTTACACACGTGGACTCTCGATGGGTGGTGTATATATATGTGACACGTGGGCTTTCGGGGGTGGGAGGTATACAAGGTGCTGTTGACAGCTAGCTGTAGCTGCGTGTTCCAGGGAGGGTCTTATCTCGCATGCGTGTAATCATGATTCCTAGGGCAACGACAACCGCCAAAGCAGGCCAAGACTCTTCAATGACGATGACGACAACGACGTCGACGACAACTGACATTGTGTCGGCCTCCTTACCTTCTCGAAAACCACGTCGCCTGGACCAAAGCCGATCGCCTCCTCGTACGCGAACAGGATAGTCTTGCCTTCCGCCTGAATAGACAAACCCGGGCACCAACGCAAGCGTAGAGTAAAGTCGGGACGGGAAGGAGGGAACGATCCATGCACGCAAGTCCGGGTCCCTCAGCGTGTGCCCGCCAGATTCACCGGGACTTTGCCGGGCACTCACAGATATCCAGAGCATGAGGCAACTCGCAGTCCGTGTAACGCGATGTCACCGGTGGCACTACACCGGGCAGTCGTACTAGTAATCAACCGGCACTATTTTCGTTTGGGTAGCAAATCGCGTCTTGGGAGTTTTTCTGGCGTCCGTTTCGTTTTTATTTGACTTCTAGAAAGTAGAGCCCCTTTTTTCTGGGTAGTTGGCTTGTGACCACGGAAGACGTGCGCATTAGTTGGACCAGTACGGACATTAGAAGGCACTGAGAGGAGACCGGGACGGTTTTTATGTCAAGACAACAACAACAACAACAACAACAACAACAACAACAACTGTTGAGGGACTGGCACTGCACGGGTCACTTTGTTTTGAGCGATGGGGTGGACGAGGAGAGTTCCCGGCACACTCGCGAAAGTAACGGCCAGCATCGCAAATGCTGCAAGAAACACATCCGGTGTCACCTGGATCGAAGCAACGATGGGATGGTGTGGACGACTACTTCTACTATTATTTTAGGAGTCGGCCACTCGCACTAAAACGAGATGGGGGTCATTATTTTCATCGCGGTTTCTTGAAAACAACAGTTCCGCCGCACCTTCAGTTGCTGTCCGCGGTGCCCCATCCACTTGAAGCCCGGCAGCGTCTCTTCGAAGGTGAAGCCTTCGAACCTCGCTACCGCTGACAGCATCTTGGAGGACACTGTGCTGGCGATCATAACCTGACAAAATCAGTCACGACACAGAAAAAATAAGGAGAGATGTTTTCATTTCGGTAGGTCTCTGCCGTCGCTTGGGGCATCGGAAGCGTCGAGGTGCGGGTCATCTCCCCACACACCTCATAAGCAAGCACAAAGGCCGCGATTCTACGCATCACAAGGAAGGACAGCATGAGAAGAGATTGCCTCGACCACTCGTCGAACCATTACATTACCGCCACAAAACAAAAGAAAAAAAATGTAGAAGTATATCATTTTTAGGCAGCACAACATGAGAGCAGCGTGCCGCAACCACTCAACACACCGACGTTTCAGGCCAAAAAAACACTCGTCGAAACAACAGACACAAGGTTCAAGAAAAAACAAAAAGAACACGCTTCTTCCAATAATTTCACCTGTCCTTTCTCAATCAAACTCACCGCGTTGGACGCGTCTTCATCCGCGTGCTTCCTCCGCCACTCCTCCCACTGCCACACCCCGAGCAAGGTCCCGATCTCGTTGCCGGAGAACACGTACCAGTCACCCGAGGGCTGCCTCTCGGCGGCGGCCAGCCTGTCCCCGTCCGGATCGTTGGCCAGAACCAACGGGATGCCTGGAACGTGAGTGTTTCGAAACGGGTGTGTGTGTGTGTGTGTGTGTGTGGAGATTGAGGTATAGGGGGGGGGGGGGGGGGGGGGGATTTTTAAAGAGGGGGGGGGGGGGAGATGCTCAATTGACGCCATCACGGAAACACTACTGTTGTGTATGCTAGAGGAAACGAAATACACTACAGCAGTAGCGTAACTGGATGCAGTCACGTAGCCGCCGAATCACAAACATGAACGTCAGCGCGAAAAACACGAGTGAACCAAGGAATGGATAGATGGACAAACGAATGAATGGATGAATGCGTGTATGCGTACCTGTACCAGGTAGTTGACGCCGAAGTCGTTGACATTCGTCATGCCGCAGCGAATGGCCTCCCCCAGCCTCACCGCCCGAGCGCTGCTACCGGAGAACACAGAGCTCGCCAGGCCGTACCTTCGCGTGATCGGGCAGCCAACAGGGCAAGGGCAATGGGTTGTCGTGTTCAAGCATGGTTGGTGCAACCATAATTCAATTGGGAGAAAGAGGCATGTGAGGCTAGATGGGCGAATCCCCCAAAAAGGTGGGCCATCACCAACTGAGGCCGCAATAACGGATGTTCTCAGATCATTCACTACGTCCCACTACTGTCCAGGCGACGTTTACAACATTTCAATGGTGCGTGAGAAAGGATACCGACACAGGCCATAATACGCCCGCTTGCAGGTGCGAGCGAAACTGCCACAGAACACCGGACATGTAGGCGGCTCCAGCTGTGGCACAAAGGCTACCTACACCTCGATGCTTTCGCGACGTCGCTGCCATGTGTGTACAAAACCTATGTGTGTGTGCTACCGCCTTCTCCTGTGCTCCGGGTATCACGTTTACACCTTCGGGAATGTGTGGACCCAACACGACGAGTCAGAAGGGTTGACGCACAGGGTTGATTTCGTTTCACTGTCAACACTTCTCCGCCTTCCTTTCCTTGAGGCTTCCTTCGGGGGCGCGCTTGCCTTAAATGTCATCCCGGAAAAGGTTGAGCCGTCTCTTTCTCATTCTCTAACTTCGTGTAAAAATAATAAATGCTCGTTCTCCACTCAATGCAATACAATCTTGTACAGCAGCCAGCTACACCCTCGGCCTCACTTGCTGGAGTTGATCATCTTGATGCATGTCTCGTCGCTGTCGCCGGGCACCTTCATGATCGTCATCACAGGACCGAACACCTCCTCCTGAGCAATCTTCATGTCCGGAGTCACTCCCGCCAGAACCTGGAACACAAGAGACGGGTGCGGGAGACCGGGGAATGAAACCGCCGATCTTTGAAAGCAATGGGTCGTCGTTGCATAAAAGAATGACCATTGACAAGTCGATTCAGCAGTCGTCCGCGATACAAGGACACCAAGAGCAACGACACTCCCCGTTACAAGGGCGGCATGATTGGTCGAAGCACGGTGCCCAGCAGAACATAAAAACAGCAGGGGGGTATGAGGTCAAGCAACCCGCACTAAGGATACTTTCGATGAAGAAAAATTGTCGAGTGTCCTCGATGTGCTGTAACTGCACTTGCAAACAGACTACCTCCGTGGGTAATCTTGCACCGTCACCACCATGACATCGTTAAAGCCGGCCCCGGCATCCTTTCCGGCACAATCCGATCAAGCGGGTCGATTCTTCAAGTCTTCAGGTGGCGGGAGGGAGGAGTGAGGCTACTACAATATTACTGTGCAGGGGGAACACTATCACTAACCGTCGGGAGGTAGAAGAGACCGTCCGGGTGTTCCATATTCCTCGAGCCGCCTGTGGTGACCTTGCCTCCTTTCGACACCGCATCATCCACCAGATCCTGTGTCATGCGCACAGCACACACAAGTGACAAACGTTCGTTCACCACCAAGATGGCGGAACTCCGGGCAATCAGCCAGACGGGTTTCCCACAATTCCACGTGTGTATGTTATGTCGTGGGAGATACGGTTCAGGGTTGGGTGTGGTTGATGTGGCGACAAACAAGCACCGGTGTTGCACTGTCAAAAGCCGAGGAACGGAACCAGCAGATCGCAACCTATCAGAATCCACAAGTAACAAGCCGACTTTACTGGTTCAGCATCACAAACATTTTCCTAGTTCAGCACGCAGCGGCGCTGCACGTTTCACCCTGCAACCAAAGCACGCAAGCCACGGCTCGAACTGCCTCATTATACCACAAAAACCTAAGCAATTCCTAACTCGACATGGGCACGTACATTCAAGAGATCGAACACAAGGACGCATTCATAAAGCATGCGGTGGTAGGGAGGGTAAAACGATCCACCTGCCGATGGACAAATGAAGGAGCAACACCATTTTCCGCCACCCTTCAAACGGCACCAGGCAAACCGGATTGCAAATTAATACCCAACAACAGCTACATGCGCTCAAGGCTGAGAGCCCAACGTAGGTCAGCAAAAACATGTCCTCCGCAAAACAGCTCCTGTTGTCTTCAAAGAAATACTGCTGCTGCGTTAACATTGAGAGCGTATCAATGTACCAGTTTGTACCTGCACGATGTCCAGCTGAGCGGGCATGACCATCGCCCCGCAGTCGACCGATTCTGGCCCCAGCACCGGCCCCTGGCGGAGCTTTGACGCAAGCTCGGTGACCCTCGCCACAAATCGATCGTACACCTGAGCACACAACGTCCCAGAGAGGGAGAGAGAGAGATAGATAGATAGAGAGAGAGAGAGATAGAGAGAGAGAGAGAGAGGGAGAGAGGGAGAGAGAGAGAACGGGGGGAAGAGAGAGACAGTGAGAGAAACAGAGACAGAGACAGAGGAGAGAAAAAGAAAGAGACAGGGGCAGACAGACAGAAGCGAGAGAGACATAGAGAGCGAGAGAGAGATATGAGAGATGTTGCAATAGTGGGAGAGGGCAGTAGAAGCAGATGATATCACACGCCGAGAGCAAGATGCTTGACAAAGTCATGGGGACGGTGCCATCGACATTTTCATCAAGACGAAAGGTGGGCACCGGGCTTGCGTCTTCCGAGTGTGCTGGTGAGAAACAGGGCATGGCAGAAGGGTGCTCAAGGAGCCATTCCGGAGGACAGCACAAAAGAGGTCTATCCAACCCTTGCCCTTGTTGTGCAAGGCAAGCCTAAAACAAGTCCACAGCAGACGATCTTATTTATTCCTGAGTGCGGCTGTCCTCTCTCTAGCAAAAACGAATCAAAAGAATAGCAACAACGAAACGGCCACACGAAAACCAAACGACAAAAAAAGGTTCCTTGAAACAACAAATGAACACACGACACCGACACTCCCTGTCCCGTAGTACCGGCTGCCCTAACGGCGCAATTCACTATTTATTCGTTGTCGACCGAAGGAAATCAACTCGTGTCAAAATATAATACCGTTGACCAAGCCACGACATCCACCAAGAGATCTATAACATTCGAGAAATCAACGTAGATTTCACGCAAGGGGGCAAGAATAAATCGTGCATCGGCAACCATGATACCTAGAATATCCGGATGTAGTCGCGCTGAGACTGACTGATGTGTTCTTAATGGTCAGCCGGATAGCGATGCAAAGAAACAGAACGCGCACAAGCACCAACAGATGCGGCCTTAGAAGCGTTTCCTGTCTCGAGTCGCACTGAGCCTGATGTAATTTGGTTGGTCAGCCGGTTAGCGGGGTCGAAGCTAACAACACACACACGTCTGCGTCAAAGCACAGCCATGTAGCAAGCACGCCGCCCTTGGCGTGTGACGGGCCTCACTTTCTCGTACACGTAGACCCTCTCCACGCCGATGCAGTTCTGACCGGCGTTGAAGAACGAGCCCTTCATGACGAACGGCATCACGCGCTCGATGTCCACGTCGTCGCATACGACGAAGGGGTCCTTGCCGCCAAGCTCGAGCACCACCGGCTTAAGGGTCTTGCAGCAGCCCTCCATCACCTTCCGGCCGACCTGCCGCGAAAAAGACCGCGTTTGTCAGTGAAGAGGACTTCGGGTCATGTCTACCATTGAGTCTTGAGCAGACTTGCAAGCGTGAACAACCCGTCAGTCCCGTACCGCGAAAGGCAACACTACCGTCCCGTAGTATTCATGTCTTCCCCGTGGTGAGCATCTCCATCCATCGATACGTACCAGGTACCATGGTGGATATTTTCGACCTAGGAGGTCGGCCAAAATTCAGTCAGCTCCAGCTCCACACAAAGGGGGGGGGTTGCCAGCCCCCGCAGCAGAGCACCAGCAGAGAACCTCAAATGGCGGAACGGTTCGCGGTTTCCACGAGAGAATGGAAAAACACCCGTGTGCATCTGCGCGTGGGCCTGTATTGTACAGTATACTCCGAGTATACAACACATGCCCCCCTAATTAATCCATTGCATGTCTTGGAAGGGCCAAGCGTAGACACTCCATGCTCGACCGGCACTGAGAAGGAAAATCGTAACATGAATCGTTGGAAACCGGCACGTTGCGCACTTCAGGGGATCCGGTGAAGATAATCTTGTCCACGTTGGGCGAGGCCACCAGAGCCGCCCCGGCATCCCCGAAGCCGGTAACGGTAAGGCAAAGGTCCGGGTTGTGTCCGCACGCCTTCAGCACCTCGGCCATGATCGCCGTAAAGTACCTGTTATTGTATCGAAGAAGGAGGTGTTCGGGGGTAGTTGGCCAAGTTGTCGTAGTTGTGGACGCGAGAAAAAAAAACTGACATCTATTCACGCTCCCCCCGCCCGCGAGGCTGAAAGAAGCTTACGGGAGATATGAACACACTACAGCAGTGTGAATGAAACAGCCACCGCACAATTAGGCACAAGGCAAAGCCACAAAGCTTGGCCAGAGGAGGATGCAGGGTGGGTGGCGAAAGGCGAGAGCACTTGTGCGCCGGAACAAACAAACCAAAATTAGCCGTGAGGGCTACCGGTAAAAAATAATTCTCACTATCAACCGAGCTAAACGCAGTGGGTGGCACAACCACCAGACTCCAAGCCACCCGGAACAATGAGGAACAACAAATCAACGAAAATAGTCCTACGGTACGTTGGCGGTGCTGGTGTTGGGTGCTTCTTAACCCCTTTAGGGCTGGATCGCCTTTTGGGGACACTTTTTGTCCCCATCTTCTTCACCTGCTTTACCTCGCGAAGATTGGCATGATTGTCTCCTCCTTTGCACTACTCGACCAGGGGAGTGCCAGGGTACACAGGGACGACTCTAGTCTAGTATGGATGCTTTGTAGAGTGGAGGAGTATGAGGGTAATGAACAGGTCGAATCGCGGGGCGATTACGCCGCCGGTTCAACAGCGAAGTTGCGCCGCGTCTGTTTACCCTTGGTTGGAAAGCGCTACTAGGGGCAAGCGCGGAAGAAGTACCTAGACCACCGTTGATAGGAGGCACCAAGCAACCCAGGGCTTGAGTTAGAAGGTCTCGCTTTCCCTCTAGATAAATATCTTGAAAACCTCCTTTTCGTGCCCCGTTTACCACGCTCCCGCCAGTTGCTGTCTATAATCCCTATCAAATGTCCCCTCGTGTCCCCTCGCATCGAGGGGACAATTGATAGGGATTATAGAACAACGGCTCAAGTGGGAAGGCAGCTTTGCACTTGCACCCAGGGATGGAACTGTCTGCACCATCCAATCAGCAGGCGTCGTTCGCTCTTTTTCTTAAATTTCAGAAATTTCGCAAGACCGCCAAATTTTCTGTGCGTGGTAAGGGGGTTAACATCACGTGTGAGCTTGCCAAAATACGGTAGCCGCCAAATGGAGTTCTTGTGCTCACGCGCAAAAGTGCAACACAGACAGCGAAACTATGAGAATGTGGTATTCTACGACCGAAAGGCGAGCCACGCCAAAAAATACGCATTCAAATAACATATGTGTAGGGAGGGACGTATGACAATTCATTCCATCCGGTCGCCCATGTGGCAACAGCAAAAGCAAACGAGGTTTCACGTACCTGCTAGACCAGCACGTGTACTCGGAGACCTTGGAGACGACAGCGTTGCCCGCGAAAATCCCGGAGACGATGTGGTTGTACACGTTGTGGAAGGGGTAGTTCCAAGGTGCGATTACCCCGATCACACCCAAGGGCCTGTGTCCATGCAAGTGTTCGCCGCAGTGACAGAGAGGATGAGACCACGCTTGCACAGCGGCATGTGGTGGAATACAACGTAGCGCTTTGCTGCTACGCAAAAAAAACACCCGGCGAAACAAATGGAAAATAACACGTTCTGCGTGCAATTTGAAGCACACCAGGCACGTCATCGCTCGTGGGCAGTGGGTCTTGCCGGCCGTGCTTGGAAACTATTCCGAGATGCCTGCTGTGTCGAGAAACACGAGATGTGGAGGCGGCTACGCAAGAATCGGCCGCATCTTTTCTCTAGACGTGACTGCACACTCTTCAAGCTCCCGCGCTGACGTTTATCCTAAACGACCCCTGTTGTGGAACCGCTACCATGATGTCCACCGCCTGGGTGTACTGTAGCATCCTACACCAGAAGGTGCGTGGTACTTTACCTTCGTACCGTACAGACCCTAGAAACCCACCAGAAGAAAACACAAATACGCCACTCACATGTACTCGACGTACGCCTTCTTGTAGAAAACCAGGGGGCCCGTGGGTCTGGTCTCCCTGGCAAGCCACCCCTCCCCGTTGCTGGAAATGCACCTGATCTTCTCGCAAGTGATCATCACTTCCGCCAGCAATGCGTCCACCACTGCTCTCGCGACGAGACAAACCGTTCGAAGTTCGATGTTAGTTGTGTGAAGCGCAACAGATACGTAGCAGGGTGTTACTGGCCTCAGAAGAGTCCACAACTTTGTGCTACGGCAACAAAGCTAGCACGCATCGTCTCATCGTGGGGGCAAACTCAAAGAGAGGAGGGTTGCACCATGAGACGAAAAGTGAGGGAACAAGGCAGGAATAGGCGCGGACGCTTGGAGAGCGGAGACAGGGTGTGGCTGCTGCCAAATAATAGAAGGCAGGTGTTTCCAACAAGAGAAGCGAGAGCCAAGAGTTGTTTCGACAGGATGAAGATGAATGCCACTACCAAAGGACGAAGGATGCAAAACAACACAAGTGTGCTTCTCATAGTTCCCCTCCTTGTGGAACTCCTTGACCCAGCCAAGAATCCCTTCTCTACCGGAGTTAGCTTTAGACCGAACACGAGGTTTGCTGTCGTGCAACAGTCTGCAACCATCAGTTATGACCAATGCCAGTCCTTCATAACCTTGGACGGGAGAGCAGATGCTGCTGCCACAGTTTCACGGAGACATAAACACACCAGAACCTACGGTCACGATTGCACCGGGCAACGGCTCGTGTGCCAGCGTGCTTGCGTTGAGCATTGTTATGCTTGCGCTTCAATGAAGCACCACAAGAAAGAAAACTCGACCCGACAGAATACGGCCCAAATAAAACCTGACGCCAATGTCACAAACGCCATCAACGATGGGGGTATAGCACAACAAACCAAAGGCAAAACATAACAAACATGACGAGGTCGTCAACGAGGTGGCCATGACCGCGTAGGGCGGAGGGAGGTAGCGTGCTTGGGGTGCTTACCTGGCTTTCCCGAATCCCTCGACGCCACTCTGGCAATGTCGTCTTGGTTGTCAAGAATGTACCTCTGCAGGCATGCGAGAACCCGCCTTCTCTCAGCAAAGGTCGTCAGAGCCCACTCCTCCTGGGCAACGCGTGCACTGGAGGACGCAGGTGTACATCGATGGTGGGGGGCAAGCATGGACATGGGAGAGGAGAAGAGCAGGCCACAGGTTGGGGGTACGGTTCCATGTCTTCCCGCTTCAAAAGTGATGACTCTCCATGATCATACGTTGTATGTATTCAAGCTCTCGCGCTTCCCACTTATCCTCCCGCTCTCTCGCCCACCCGGCAAATTGAGAATATTCTTCCTGCAACTCTTTGCTCCAGCACCACCCGCTTCTCCTTGCCTCCCCCAGCGGTCAATGCCCTTCCATATTATTGTCCCCCTCTGCGCTGTTTGTCTCAATCTCGCTTGCATCGTCTTGTCTCCCCTTACCGTCGTACTACATCTTCCACATCAGCTGCATCCATGGCCTTAACCTCCCCCAAGCGCTGGAGGGTACAAGGGTCGAAGCACTGGATGAAGCCTGGCCGCTCAGGATCCTTTGGCCAAGAAAGATAGACAGCAACCACGAACGATTGGTCAACGCGCACACACAGGACCAAGTAGACAGCAGTATCAGTCACGAGATGGATGCAAGGGTAGGGCTCGCGGTGTGGGAGGAAATATTTTCGCGGTTCTGATGACTAAAGCACATGCTGCCGCGAGGGGCCCAGCGCATGAACACGCCAGGCTCGAGCAAATCTGCGCATTGATAGATCGACGAACCTCCACGTACACAGCAGTAGGACACGAACGCACGGAGTAACCAATGCCCCCCCGAAGGGAAACGACTGATGGAGGGGAAGGGGTGTGGTCGCGTCAACTCAAGCTGTACAGTACGTAGCTGCTGAATACGGGAAAGCAGCAGTACAGTAGCGGATTCCCTTCATGCATGGCTACAAGTATGAAAGGTAATACGAAAATGAACTCGCTTGACTTCCCATGCTGTGCTGACGACCACACGCAAAGTTCACCGTACTGACCACCAACGAAGGTTTCCAAGAAAGGGAAGTTTACGCCGTGCGCTTACCTTGAGTTGCATCCCTTTGCAAGACGGCCCCGAAAGACCTTCCGCCGCAGATTCAGCTGAACGGCAAAGCGATGCATCCGGAAGGAGGGGGGATGCAGCCAGTGAGGGCAGGGTGCTCGTCAGTATCTTGCAGGCCCTAACTCATCGACCATACTCCTTCGAACATACAAAATTGTCTCTGGCGTAGATATAAAACCCCTGCACCGCATTGTAGAACACTGGGACGACAAAAGAATTCGGGCAGTACGGCAGTACAGCAGTATACAACAAGCTTCTTTTTTCCTTTGTCATACTGCTGTAGCCTACTGCCCACAGGGAATACTATATACTGCTCTTGTTGTCTTGTAGTTGCACGTCGAAGTCGAATCGTCCCACCAAAGCGAGGGTCTGTCGGCGCCCTGAGGCATCACAGAAAAAAGCACGCCGAAAGCCGACCTCGACAAGCCGGGTCGTATCATAACACCCGCTGCGTGAGCGAAAACCGGCGCCTGCTGGTGGGTTTGGCCAATCAGCGTGGGACTTCGGGGTCAACTCCTCGGTCGGTACCGTACTTGGTGTACCGTTTTCGTGTCACCAGTCGCCAACCCGCTTCGGTGTACCGTTTTCCGTTGTTTGTCTCACATTGTTTCTTAGCTATTCTGACCCAATAGGCTACCAGTAAGCACTGGCAATCAATCTAGTTTGGTGGGTTGACCTATGTGAAGAACAGGCCCCAGTTTTAGGTACCTCTGCACTGGTCGCCGAACCACAGCAGCGGAGGGTTGCCGGTGCGTATCTTACCGCTGTACAACAGTATACTGCTCTAGAGAGGACGGCACCCAATATCCCACACATGCTGGTCGTCGCTGATGATCCATTGAGCAAGCAACTGCTTCACTACAGCACAATGCGCCCGCGGGCTAGCATGTCTAACTGGCGGGTACTGCTATCAATACTGGGATAGACCCCTGCCGGCCGCGCACACAGCAGAGCAACCTATCGTACTGTTGCTACAGCAGTACTGACTGCTTTTTTCACCTGGTTCAAGGGGCACCCACACCGATGTTGGGATCGCCGGGGCTGTCACGACAAGGTGCACCAGCTTCAACACCGCGTAGCACACCGCCAACGTCGCCACTGCCCTGATAGGATCAACGCCCTCCAGCACCTCTCTTGCTGCCTCCGCAGCTGCGCTCCGCATCTCCGGCGTCCACATGTCTGCTCCGAGGATTTTGTTCTATTTCGTGGGAGCAAATTCAAAAACAGGTCCAGACCTTGCTGCAAGCTGTTTGCCACACTTTTCCCGCCTTTACCTCCAAGAAGCACAACAAGCTCTGGTGTGCGACGGCGAAAAGGAAGAAAAAGGGATAGGAGAAAGTTTCCTGGCAACACACACGGCGGATGGTAACACGCCTGCACACCAAGAGACATCATAGCATCGGACGCTTTCGCGAGGGGGCGCCGCATGATCGTCCGGCATTTTCACCCCCCTCCATTTTTTTTTCTCTCTCTTCCGGCGTCCTGCGTCCATGCGTCTATGTCACAGTTCACATGTCACCACCTCCACACGCTCACTCACAGAGGTGAATGGAGAGAGACCCGAGGAAAGGCAAGGAGAAAGCAGAATCTGCTGCTCCTTGCTGCCGCTCCACACAGTAAATTGTATCCTTTTCTTTGATCGTTTTTTCCTCCTCGTCGCCAACACCATGTGCCGATCGATCCTGTCACAGATCCTGTCACAGGAGTTAGTTAGCTGTTGTGCTGTGTGCTGGTGGTATACAGCAGTAGTCACTCGTCACTCTGTCTATCTTGCTTGTCTCGGCGATGATCCGATCTCTCCCTCTCTCTCTCTCTCTCTCTCTCTCTCTCTCTCTCTCTCTCTCTCTCTGCTCCAAACAAGCAACCGGCATGCCTCTTTCGAGTATCCTGCCCCAACCGACAAAATAAAGCAAGGCTCACTACTAGACGGCCGATCATTCCATCCACGTATGTCGTATACATACATATAGTCTGTGGAGCTTGAAACAACCGGAATGAAAACTCAAGTTTCACCAAGATTCACAAGATATTCTCACCACGCTTCAGGAGGACATCACGTACTTCGTACGAGGCATTTTTCAAAATCTATTGCTGGAGACTCTCTTTCTCGCAATATTCCCTGTTCGCAATTGTATAGACACGCGTAGCAAAATCCCTGAAGACCCTGGTGAGGAGACTGAGCTCGTGGGGGCAGACCAGCTCCCTCTAACAGGGGCTACAAAGGTCCTGTCCCCTATCATCCTTCAATCTCCCGCGCTTTGCTCTGGGCATTAGCCCGCACTACTTTCCTACACTTTCAAATCCCATAACATGTACTACGGTGCTTGCCTGAATTTTGAGTCGTACGAGGGATTATTATTAGACTATGTGAGAGAGAGCTTGGGTGCCTCCCTTTCTTTCTTTCCATTGTCGACGGTGAAGCCGAACTGTCGTGAGTGAGTAATGCCAATGTTAGCATCTCAGTTAGTTGGTCATACGCATTCAAACACCACAAAGAAGCCGGTAGTCCGCGCACGGACCCGAACATTCCACCAAAAGCTAGTTGACCAGCAGAGCAAACAGAATCAACAACGAATGAATATATTCCTGCGAAGAGACGAGCGAACAAACAAACGTCGTCTTTGCTAAGTGTTGGGGGAACTCCAGGCATTCATTCCGGCAAGATTCTCTTGTTGTCGTGATTGCCTGCATTCCGGCAACACCGTGTTGCTGGTGGTTGCCTTCATTCGAGTTGCCCTTTTTTGCTCGCGGTGGCAACCGTTCTCTTTCAAACTAGTCGGGGCATCGCCTACGTACAGCTGCGTACGCACAGATTCGTGTGTGGTCCAAGAATGGATTGATGTAAGCTATTGCCAGAAATTGCATACCACTGCTGAGCGACGCGAGAACCCTCACAGTTCACGTGCCAATTTGAGTGCATTCTAATTGCACCACAAAGAAACTGTGTAGAGCGCGAAAGCCAAAATGACCAATATCGACTTCATGTCACATGTTAGTTCACCCCGCCCGTTGCTCCAAGTATCACAACTGCGTTCTACCCGTGGACAATCCACTGCATGAGCCTTTTCTTCTTGTCCTTGGAGGGTGGCATATCTTTTCCGAATCGCTGTGTCTTCGCCCCGCGACTCTGACCCTCTACCGACCGCGTTGGCTTGTGTGTGGCATGGTCCGGCCCATCGTCTTTCTGCCCTATGCTGCTGCGTCTGCGGCCGGCGGTTTCTTCTGCCGTCTTGCACACTCGATTTTCGGCCGCCTTCGAGACGGTCGGTTGATCAGAGTCCATATGGACATTGTCCCGTTTGTTGCCCTTCTTGTTCTTTCTCTTATCTCGCTTTGTAGCTGTAGAGGAGCACGAAGCCGAAACGATGACCGCGCTCGCCCACCCCTGAGCACAACTGTACTGTACACCGCCCCTTCCGCCCGCTACGCCGTTGCCGCTCCCATTGTGAGTTCCTTTCTCCGCCTTCCGCTCCCTCGCTGCCCTTTCCCCCACCCCACCTGATTGTACCGATTCACTCAGGCATATTCGCTGATCTTTCCCGCTCCTCGTCTTGCCGTTGCTACGTCCCCAGGAGGATGCAGCGGCTGAAACGATATCGCCTCTATTGGTTTCGCCCACGACCCTCTCTTCAGACTTACATTCCTGCGCTGGGGTACTGCTGCTGCTGCGGCGGCGTTTCTTCCTTTTCGCTCCTCTCGGAAGTTCGTATGATGGACCCGGGCCAGCTGCATCCGTTTGGTCAGAGTCCTCGATTTCACTTGCAGCAGGTCTGGACGTGAGATCAATGACCACCGTCTTGGCCATCGGTGAAGCCCCATCCATTTTGCTGCATCCCAGCGTCACTCGGCCACCGCTACGCCCGTGCCGCTCCTTCAAGACCTCTGCACTATCGCCCTGCGCCCTTTCCGCGTTTCCATCCGATGCCGCAGGTCGACCCAGGCTCGTGCAGCCCCTCGCTGTCTTGTTTCCGCTCCCACACTCGACACCGCGCACCCTCTTCCTCGGGTCGTTCGCGGTGGAAGACACCGGGTCGCTAGAGTGCGTCGCCTCATTGGCGCTTTTCACTCTCTTGCGCTTCTTCCCCTTTGTCGAAATGGGTGTGTCCGGAATAGGGCGGTCGCACGAACCCCTCTCTGCGTCCGTACCTGTTGCCCTCAAAGCATGCAGCAGCTCCTTCACAACTCTCGATCTCTCGATGTTAACTCCACGAAGTTCCCCCGCCGTCGCAACGACGATCGGTCGGAGTACGTTTCCGACAGCGTCGGTGATGCTCACTGGTGCGCTACCCGAAAAATCAGAACCTCGCCTTGTTCGTAGCCACAAACGGAAAGCCTTTGCCGCGATGATCATTTTCACACGTTTCGATGCCCCTAGTCCAAGCCCGAAGTCATCGCGCAGAGACCTGACAGAGGGGAGCACGCACAAGAGCACGCACAAGAGCATCAGCAGGGCAACGAGGTTTGTTCCCGTTGCTCGTCAGACACCGGTTGATGTTTAGCGTTATCCCCACCCAGGGGGGCGCCTGCATGTTCAAGACACCGAGGGTCTCTGCGGGTGTCTCGGCAAGCCGGAGGGAAAATCGAAGCGTCCAGCCGATTCCCACGCGGAATGAACCCGCAACTACGAGCACCCAACAAATCAGATTTCTGCCGGCCTGCATCAATCAGTTTCGGACAAACCTGAGTGCAGCAATGTTGCTGGCGTTCACGGCGACTCCCCCGACCACCTTCATCTTCTTCGCATGCGCCACCTTCTCGCCGTTTACCCAGCAGGCTCCAAGTTTTACTTTCAGCCGCATGGTCTCGTCTCCGTTGGCATCCTTCGCATCGGAATAGATACCCCAGGGCAGCGAAAGAGGGCTTGTGTCGTCCACGTTTGTGACGCGCCAAACCTCACCCGGTTTATTCTCTCGCTCCTTGCTCACAAGCGTCGTGTCCGGCAACTCATCGGACGCCGTAGCTCGAACAGTCGAGACCTCCTCTTCTCTGTCCTTGCTCTTCTCTTTTTTACCTCGTGCCGTGGCACTCCCAGAGGGGAGAGGTGGTGCATAGGCCGTGCACGTAACAGGGGCAGTGGCAGGTAGAAGCTCTCCGGAAATCACCGCCGGATCGTTCCGGAAGCGCTCAGTCAGAATGGCGAGGTCGTTCCTATTTTCCACACGCAGATCACCGGCGACGAAAGAGGACTCCCGGACAAGTTGATGCCGTTGAATCCTGATGTTGACGACGGTGTCGTCAAGGATGTCGGAACTGGGATTCTCCTTGTCAAACATGCAAAGGATTCGGGCAGCGACGCTTCTGTGGACCTGGTCTTGCGCGGGCCCGTACACCGGGAATAGTTCCGCGCTTAGTGCCCTAGCGTGGATCGACAGAACAAGGACCGGAAAACGTGCAAACGAAACCAGCGGGGACACGAAAGGACAACAGGTCATGGGTGCTGTGAACCATTGATGTCCCAGGATTCGTGAATTTCATGTCCCCTGTACACGCCTTGCTAAGCTCCTCAGCATGACGACATGCTGTTTGTAGACGAAGATTCCTCGATTTGATGGTTCATTTGTCAGGTACATGGCCGCAGAAGTTTGCATCGTCCAACAGGCCGGGTCGGAACAAGTCAATGTTTTGGCCCGGTACCAAGCGCAAAGCGCGGTGAAGATCTGTACCTTCTGCATGGAAAAGGAAATTGTCTATCGTCGAGTTTAGACGACGGAATATCCACAATTTCCAGAAACTGTGGGAAAAACGTCACACTTGTGTGCAGCATCGGTGCCTGACCGGATACACGCTGGTAGCTGAACGCTCCATTTCACGCAACAAGTTCGTGAGCAGTCAGCAAGTGCAAGCAAAGAACCGCATCATTGCAAAATCGATAGCACCGTAAAACTTCGTCAGCAGTCACTCACGAGGGACTGGACCACCAATCTCACGCACGCATCATAGACGTACGTTCAAGCTGAATACGTCATGTCACTCCTTAACGAGATTGTTAAACGCCAGCAATCGATTGTTGGACACGCAAGGGCGAAGCGGCGGCTGTTTGGGGCACATGCGATGGACCGTGTTTGGGGCACATGGCATCATTATGGACTGAAGTGCAGCATATATAATGCACGGCAGCAGTATCTCTCAATCAGACGGAATGGCATGTCGAACTCACCTTAAGGCAAGTACCGTTTGCTTGTTGATATGTTCGCACAGGTGCCGAACTGATACGTCGCGGCGGACGATGGTTCTGCCGTTGACCTGGCACGAGCCTTTCTTCAAAAGTATTTTTAGCATGAGTGGTTGGTGGTTTCCCGACAAAAACGTGCTCTCACGGCAGAAGGAGATGTGTGGAGGAAGCAGCCAAGAGGTGCCGTCGTCACACGTTACAGTTCTCGGTCCCTTCACGCCAATGTCCGTCCTGTTTGGTTTAGCCACGCTAGAGCCCAGTAATTTCCGGGCCATGGCGGCGGTTTCGACACTGCTGATGGAAGACTCCAGAGAAGAAGGAGCAAGCTCCAGCACACCCGACGTCACGCTCCCATTTTGCCGCAGGGATGTTGCCAAGAGGTTGAGCTCGCTCGTTCTGTTAACTTGCCGAAGCTCCCCAGCTTGGAAGCTTGATTCCTTCACATACACATGTCGTTTGAAGCTCACAGCAACTTCGTCCGTGTCGAGGATACCGAAATCAGGGTGTTCTAGGTCAAACATCTGCATGATGGAGGCGGCAATGATCTTGTGGACCGTCGCCTGTGCAGGTCCAGACATCGGCATCAGCGTCTCTCGTAAGGCTCTGCGTTGTTGGAAAACAAGACAGCCGATATTCCAGACCACAGCAGTTGGGGCGATTAGAGGATGCACGGAAGTGAACCCAAGCATGTTCTGGTACTGTGGACGCATCGTTGAATGTGCCGTTGATGTGTCTCGAAAGCATGAACGAAATCGCCCATCAACTATGTGTTCCTTTTTCCGCCCTACGCGTAATTCGTTAGAGTAGGAGGACCAGGCATCATCTACAGCAATACAACCGTAACCTAATACTTCTAGAATAGAGGGCAGCGGATGCTGTAGATACACAGCCAGTTTAGCTGCTACAAGCAAGACCCCCGGTGGGTCGGTCTCATGGATAGCATGGCTCGCGATGACCACATCGCTCTCGAACACCCAAACAACAACCGAACGAAGGATGCATAATAGACCTTGAATAGACGGATTTCCTACGGGCTGAGGGCTCACGAGATCGCAGGAAAGGCAATCCTGATGATCTCGTGAGCCTAGAGCCCTTTTTTTCGAGGTTTCTCCGCCCGTTGACCTCGCCTCGAAACGAGACTTGCACCTACCGATAGCCCTGTGTTGCGAGGGCCCTCCCGGCGTGCCGCGCGCTCTCGGGGCGGACTGCGTGCAGCGCTAGCGAGGGCAGAAAGTCGCGTCTCCGACATCTACCATGGATCCACCAATCACACCCCGATTTCTTGACAGTGCAGGCCACTCATACATACATTCGGCAAGCGGCTCACGTGGATTGTGCGTGTGCGCTGGCTACAAACCACACACCCTGCCACACACGACAACCAAGCCACCAAGTCTCCGCATGAGACGAGACAAAGTACTCTACTGCTGTAGTGCGTCTCCCTTTTAATCCAGGCGAAAGGCGGGGGGGTTAGCGGCCAGTGTCGTGCGCACAGCTGTCTGCAAAACTACACCCGCCCGAGAAAAAAAAAAATGAAATACGTTGTTTGTTCCTCCGTTTCATAGAAATACTTTTTTTTTTCCCGGAAATATCTTCTGGATACCTACCGCACTTTATTGTAGAGCGGCTACCGGGACATGCTCCGCATCCCACCTACCAACACACACCAACACACGAAGTTCTACAGTCATCTGACTCCCAAAACCCTCTAGCAGAACATATAGAAATACTAGGCTGCTGTGGGTTTCCATATTTTCATAAATCGGCAGAAAAAGTTGTCTGCTTTTCTGTGGTTTCGTGCTGCAAAAACTAAAAAAACTACGGTATGTATGCACACGTAATTGATTTATTTGCGCTACAACTGCTTTTCCTCGCCTCCCGTAATCAACCCCGATTCTCATCACCGACGGCTGTACATCAGATCACATACATACGAAGACCGCACACCCGAGAAGTAGCGAACTTTATTCAGCTACAACGTCTCGCTGAGGGGGTGGGTAACACATGGATGGGAGAGAGGGGGGGAAGAGACAGAAAAGGAAAGCTGGTTGCTTGATGTTTCTTTCTTAGTTTAATTACTCGACACACACCCCAGTAACCCCTCTCTCTTGTGTCTTTGAATAAATAGTAGAGCATTTTAGGGGTCGCTCCTCTGTCTGTTTTCTTATTGAGACGTTTCTTCTCTATAGGTGTGGCCCAGGTGAAGCTATTATTATGTTACGTAACCAACCCTGTTGTCCTACTTTTTTCGTGGAAAGTGAGCCTTTGTTTCTGAAAAACAAACTTCTTACTCAAAGCAATTAATTAAACACTCTGTCCTCCGGCCGTCGCGTAACACAACATATGAATATAGTCACTGTGCGTCTCTGCTCTTCGAACAAACAAACAAATTTTTCCCTCTTCGCAGCATTTTTTCTTCGTAGCTCTCATTTCAAAACTCCACCCGCACACACTTGCCATCGCCATTCATTGAACCTACGAGCGTAGCGGCGACCGCGAAGCGGTACGCCGCGAAGCGCCCTTGTATCTATGTACATACATGCAACGGAACACAGACAGACCATGCGGTCCACATTTTTTTTTTTTTTCTTAATATGACACAACGAAACCATCTCTGTCATAGAAAAGAGTCTGAGACAGATTAGCAATGGATTCATAGCGTCAGAAAGTACCTGTATGTCTACGATTTCCCAGACAGCATATAGGGACATCTCCCCTGCGGGTAACAGGCTCAACAAGACAGTTTGGTAGCTGTCTTGTGTGTCATTTATTTGCTCACAACAAGCGGTTCATTCTACAAGCAACATGTTCCGCCATGTCAATTCCAAGCACATCTAGGAGAGCACTGATGTGTATTCACCTGGCGACCAAAAAGGTCTCCATGGTGATCTTGGACTCCTGATGGGCAATTCTGACCGGTTTTGACACCCTCTTTCCGTTCACTTCGCACCATCCGAGCTGGAGTTTCATGCCGATGAACTGGTAGTTGCCCCGCTTCTGCAGAGATACAAATGGCGGCGCCAGGTACGACTTGCCATCAATCTGCACGGTTTTACTATGGTGACTACCAGTTCTCTTCATGTCGGAGCCTTCACAGCCCTGCGCCAAACTTCCTTCCTTCCTTTAATGCTTGCGTCCTCCCTAACCCCTAACTAAGGAGCTGAGGAGGGTGAACGTGTGTCGTGCGGCCCACAACAACCCACAACAACAGCCAACAACATGCACACGGAACCACCAGTACGCTTGTCTTCACTCACGGAGCCCCCCTGCGGGCAGCCTTGGCTGGAATCGCCCTCCGCCTCCGGAATCGCAGACAGCAGTGTGGATAGTGTAGCTATCTGGCTAGGGCAGGTGCAACAGCGATCCACACACGCACCAGCACCGGCACTATGGGAGGCGAGCACCTAGTTCTCGACCCGGCCATCCGGGACTGGGTCGTATTTCCGCTGATGCTCATGGTGATCCTGGTGGGAGTTTTGCGACACAACATCACGGCTCTTCTCAAGGCGGACAAGCCTCTGGACAAGGAAGAGCTCAGCTACAAGTGAGTTAGTTCCTTCCAGCAAGCAGCCCCGAAGTATTGTACGGGTACGAGGGTTTGTGGACAGCAATATTTCGCGCTGGGTCGTAGCTGCAGTTTTGTTCTTCCTTTGAATTGCTGCTCGAATCCCAGATGCCCTCTGCCCCGTCTTCGCGAACAGATCGCGCCGCTGTAAAGAACGATGCGACAAAGGCCGTTTTGCTGACAGACTACATTGTATCGATATCGTTAGCACAGCAATGGTTCTGCCCGCCCTCATGTCCTGTCGCGCCCGCACACACGTCCAGGGCTACAATGTATCCACAAAGCGTGGCTTGTAGTTCAAGAGAGAGCTATATCGACGAGAACCAACAGCAACGTTTGCCTCCTCACTCGTACGCGCTAGCCCCCCCGCTACTGCTGTAGGTATGCATAGACTGCTCGAGTTGCGGTTCAACGTTTCAACCGCAAACACGGCAATTCGTCGGCGGTTCGATGTATGTTTTACTCTTGAGGTCCACCTTGAGAACCCGTCCACCTGGCACAGTACAGTAGCTATCCAACCGATGGTGTGGTGCACTGCAGTCGTACCCAAAGAGACTTAAACAACCCAACAGCTTGTACTCGTCTACGACTAAGAAGAGACCATCAGCTTGACAGCCCTACCGAAACGCCTAGCCCAAGGTCTTGACACTATGCAGGGCCGCCTGCTTTGTTGTTGTTGTTGTTGTTGTTGTCTTCACATTAAACTCGTGTCAGTTGCTAATCTCAAAATCTAGCAAAGACGCGGTCCGTGGTCACAAAAATGCTACAGTAGAGCCATCAGAAGATGTAAACAACACGCAAACTAGCAAGAAAAGGGTACACAAGCCCGAAGAGGTACAAATACACCTGCATCCCTGCAGCACGTTTGCGTGCCCAAAAGCTGAACTACCCGTCCACACACTACATTCGACTACAGCAGCATCATCCCCCCCCTGTCCCACACTTTACCAAAATGAATGTTTGTCGACTACAGCGTACAGCTGTCTGGAGTGCTGCCTGTACAAAAACACCATGGTAGGCATGGTACAAGTTCGGGGCGCGCAGCTGCTGTCTGGAGTGCTGTCAGAATGCGTCCGTGGACATACAGTGAAAAAGAACAACCAACCAAAGCCATAATTGAAATTGACAATCACCGAATCTACCCCCGGTCATCTCTGTGTTGGACACAGCAGTGTAAATAATCGACACTGACGAGGAATCGTTCCACATTGAAGGGGTCTTCCACGATGCAGGTACACAATAAAGGCACCCGGGGTATCCGCGCCATCTCTGCCGCGTCTCTCTACCAAACCAGTGACGTCATCACACACACTCAACACCGATGTTCAGGAAAAAAACGGAAAATATTTGACAACACAAAATGTTCGTCCGTGCGTCACGGTTCGATGTCGTCCCGTGTGCTCCGGTGTCGCTGCGGCCAGTCTTAGCACGACCAAACTCGACCCGCTCCGTCCGTACACGCTCTCGTTGCTGTCCTACCCAGTCGGTTCCTCGCTTTGTCCCCCGTTGCACTTAGGGTTCTTTGTCTGAAAATTCTCGCGCCGAAGGGTCAACCGGCCCACTCAGCTCGTCACCACCTGTTCCCTCCTCCCCTTTGATGGCGAAGCCAGGTTAACTGAGACAGTCTAGCTAACCTAGGGCCGTGTACATAGTGCCCGTCCACCTTTCTGATGGCATCTGCCTCCGCGCACAAAACTGAGATGGACATTGCTGTCTACACCGACGGCCACGAGGCCCGCGCATCCGCACTTTTGTACCTGACGCACCAGTGCCGACCCAACTCTACCACTACGCACGCCTCGCGGCGGGTGCACCGCAGCAAGAAGGTATCAGTCCCTTGAGGGTGAGTCTAGCCATGCTCGCTAGAAAGACCCCCCCCCCCTCGCTATGGGCCATGCGTAAGCAAAAGCCTTGCCGAGGCAGCGAGGGGAAGAAGGAATTAGAAAGGCTTTTTCCGATGTCCTACGTGTATCGGTCGCGGGGCGTTGGTGGCCCGGAAAATGCTGTTGCTTCGGTTCCACCTTGCGCGCGCCCGACAAAGTCGTCACTGCACTCAACGTGAGCCCAAGCCCACATTTTTGTTGCGGGTCCCGGATGGTTTCTCCCTCTCTCTGCTGTGTAGTTTACTCTTGAGCACCCTGCTGCGGCCATGCCGTCCTTCTATCGCAGGCAAACCCTGACGAGGGCGAAGCGGCTGAGGGGCAATGGGCGTTTTATCTGCAGGGAGGCTTTCTCGCGGCGAAAGGGCTACTTCACGGCTAAGGAAGGGGGGCTGCTGCGGCAGGAGGACCTCCCGGGACAGGCCAACCCCATGGCAAACCCCGACAAAATGATGGGGCCCATGAAGAGCCAGGTGCGAACGCTGCCTCTACCATCAACCCTTTATAGCCTTTGCTCGGCTTGTTCTCGGCAACGTGTAGACTTGTGGTGGTGGTGCTGCAGCGGGCTTCCTTGGTCCTTACTTTGAGAGCAAAATCCTCACCGGTCAATTGCGTCCTCATTACATGGCGTGATCGGTCATGTGCCGCGTGCCCTGAATGACCCGTTACGAACTGGTGTACAGCCTACGAAGAAACTCCAACAGTTGATAGATGGAACGATAACGGTTGCTACGGCACAGTGCCCGATAAATATTTCAACAGCGGCGGTAGCTTGGGGCACAACGTCCGGTGCGGTTCCTATATAACAAGTAGTAGGTTTGCATCGTTACCGTCTGTTGGAAGACGTTCCCAGCCTCGCGGCCCTGGTCAAAGAAGGTTTCATTTTTAATTTCACGACATTCATTTAGTTTTATCCAAGGGCCCGCTCGCCCCACCCTCCCCGCCGTCCACACACTATTCATAGTGGATCTGCCGCTGCTAGTTTGTTGAGGCGCACCCCTTCTTCCACCACCCCGTTTCCGGCCACATTCCTTCCCTCGCTTCTACATGTTTCCGGCTGTGTTGCCATCGACGGACGGGCGTCATTCTGAGTATTTTCTGTGTGCTTGTCGACTGACAAATAAGCACCAACACATGTTGTCTGTGCGTTTCTTCTCACGTCTCTATTTAGCTGCTCTTTGCTTGCTGTTCCTCTGGGTGTGCATTTTCAATGTCGTCGTTGATAACATCCTTGCGGCGTTTTCTTGCGGATGCCGTGAGCAGATGGGGTTCGTGGGCACGAACATGTTCATGATGGCTTTCACCTCGTACTTCTTCGAGGGATTCGTGCTCGTCAGAGTTCCGTTCCCGTTAACCAACCGTTTCAAGGTAATACTGTTTTTTATCTTCGGGCTGTTTATCGGTGCTTAGGAGTCTTTTTGGTTGTCTGCTGCCCGCCCACACGTTCGTGTGTTGGCCCGGCGGGCTCGCAAGAACTTCGTCCTCGCTGCCTATCGCTTCAAGGGACGTTTGGATGGTTTGTGCCTGGGATTTTGGGAGTCAGTTTGGTTGTTATTTTGTGCTGGCTTTCGTGTGCGTCGTCAGGACTTGACCACGCCCTCCCTTATCGATGTGTCCAAGGGTCTGGCCAGGGGGTTGTTCGAGATGCGCCCCCGCTGACCAGCCGCTTTCACTGATTTATTTTCGTTTGTGTTTTCTCTATTCATAGTTTGGAATATGCTTGAACGTTTTTTTTGCGGGCACTATCTGTCTTTTGGCTTGACAGTGGTTGGACGTTGTCGCAAAAACGCGAGGCAGAGGTCGAGAGCATGGATTGGTGGGCAGTCTGGCTCCTTGTCCAAAGAGCATGGATTCGATACAGTGGTCGACCATACGAACCTAGTCTCTGCCGGGACACATAAGTCTCGGGCATTTGCTCCCGTCGTCGCCATCGCTGGTTGGGATGCTGTGTGCTGGCTGTAATTTGCATTTGTCAGGTGATGCTCCAGCGAGGGGTGCAGCTGAGCACGCTGGACGCCAGCTACGTGTCGTCGACGTCGTGGTACTTCCTCGTGATGTTCGGCCTTAAGTCTGTCATCAACCTCTTCCTTCGGGAGACCCCTGTTCAGCACGAGGTGAGAGCTACTGTAGCTCAACACGGGGCCTTGCTCTTGTGAAAGATATGTCCGTGAGGCTCAAGAGATCTCGTAAAAGACCATCGGCCTTACCCAAATCAGAATGTGGATGTGATGACTACATGTATCGCAGGAAATAGAAGTAGTGGTGCAATGGCAGCGGTTTGTTGACGATGACACCGCAGTGACTGGGAACTTGCTTGGTTTGCGTCATCGTCAACAAGAGGTTACTTGACTTTCAATGGCATAGCACCACGGAAGTATCGCAGAGATTTATGTCTCGTTTTTGGGGTTGCGGAGGGGCGGACTTTTGCACTGACTGACTGGTTTTGACTCTCTTTATTGTCATCCCATATAGTGCGGACATCGATCCTTACTTTCACCTTGCGGTTCACTTCTGGACTCGCCACCACAGCCGGGTTCACAGAGGAAGAACACCGCGCAGGAGTTTTGTCTCCGCCTTCCTTCTGCGGCACTTTCCTATAGTCTGCGTCCATGGGGCATGTCGATCCTTACCCTTGTGGCTCGCCGGCGGCAAGGATACGAAGCGATCACCCATCCCATTTGCCGGTACCCCTGTTCATGACAAGGGTACCGTGAAAGATTGCTCTCGTCTTTAGTAAGAGAGCCTGGCGAGCTTGTTGGTGATGTTAGGTAGCTTTTCGAGTGCATGCCAGCGCGGAAGACACCGTGTTTGTGTCAACACTTTGTGACAATCGCCGAAACGTGAGCGCCTCTTATGTCTCCTGGTTTCCGCTCCTTCGGGGGCTTTATCATCCTCATGCCCTCATCTTGCTCCACAGGCGAAAGTTATCCAGTCTCAGCTGGGGGTGGGCGCGGCGTCCATGGGTTTCGACACCAAGAAAGTCTATGCCTCGGAGGTAAGTTAGAAGTGCTTGATACGCTTTGTCGTGCGGAGCTTTGGAATTTGACTGCCACAACGGAAAGTGTTGTTGTTTTTGTTCTGGTCTTAAAACATGAAACACCGTTCCGGTCCCCGCTGACTGCCTTCTGATATCCGTACTGGTCCGAATGGCTCGGACGCCTTCCGTGATCAGTACAATAGCCAACTACCCAAAGAGGTGCTTGCTTTTTTCAACGCACCATGCGAAGAAGTAGGTTTGAAGCCTTGCCATGGCAATCGTCGAGGTGTTGAAGAATGCGTGCCTCCTTCGTGCGTAAATCTGAAATGTACACAAGGGTAGCGACAGGAAAACGTATCATACGTGAAGACAAGGCCATACCTTGCGTGATCGTTCCTCTATCTGCACCAACTCTGTGCGAGAAATACAGTATCCAAAATACGGCATACAAGTATTTTATCTTGGAAGTCGAATGAGTGTACGATCGGATGCGCGCCCTGCGCCTGTTTAGGTACTAGACTGTCTCTGCCAGTAATCGGTACGGACGTGTGCCCGGCTGCCTCATACGACATGGTATAGTACAGTATCACGTATCGTATGTGACGTGTACGCCACACGTTGTGCACACGTTGGCACGTTTTTCGATCAAACTCCCAACGTGGGGTATTGTGGCGGAAGGTTCACTCACTTGCGTCCACGGCATTCGTTGGGAAACGGACATCATTGTTTCTTTTTTGGCAAGTGTACACTGCCGAACACCTTTTTTTTTGCCATCCGCGGAAAGCGATGCACATACTATAGTTATTGTAGTCCACTTCTTGCTGTCGTCTACCTCCGCTGCGTGGAACAGGTGCTTTTTTATTCGTGTGTTTGGTTAATCTCTCGTCTCTTGTTCGTGTTTTCGTCGTTGTTTGTTTGCCGCGATCAACTGTGGGCATGCGCACGAAAATAAAAAAAATGTGCTCTTCTCTGGAGCAAAGGCGGACAGCTTGGATCTGGCTCCGCACGAGTGGTTGCTGAACGACGTGGAAAAGAGACTTCTGGGAAGCAAGGTGACCACCAATCGTTTGCCCTTACGCGTCTCTCGCTGCTCGCTGGTTACGCGCCTTTATGCCGAGTTATATTTTGTGTATAATCGTTCATCGCGCGTATGTATGTGAATTCTCTGCACTGCAGGTGAGATATTCCTTCGAGGTTTGTTTAGGTCGGTTAACGATGGAATGTGCTGAGTTCGCGAAACTCAATTCTTAAGCGCGCAAGCGCTGGTCGAGAAAGTTGGGAATCGTAATTATGTGTTGAGTGCACCAGGCACCTTCCTGATAGTGCACTGGTACACACATTCCGCCAAACAGAAGTTGACATGGTTGGGTGCATGTGAGGGCGGCGGTTTGTGAACCGAGTCTCCGAGCGCGGTGCGGTGCTTTCCGTCCCCCTGGAGATGAGGATAGCACGTGTCAAGAAAAGGAGGAAGAGTTAGAAAACGGAATCGAAACGAAAGAGAACCTGTATTGGATGTATGTTGTCGTAGCTTCGTCCCTCGCTCCGAACGCGTCCTGTCAACCGTTGCTGTCTGTCTTCGTACGTCCAGTCAACTTTATGTGGTTGCCATACGTCCACTCAACCATTGTTTCTTGTTTCTTCCACACGCGCAGTCAACCTTTGTGGTCGCTATACGTCAAGTCAACCGTTACTATCTTCGTTCTGTCGCTTGGGCTGACATTCCAGTACCTCATTCTCCATACCAACGTTCTTAAATGTATTAGGTAAATAACCCAGTTACACAAAGGTACCCCTTTTTATCACCAGCTGATCGATACACCCCGTTCTTAGATAAACGTGCGCGGTCTACGGTACGAATGCGTTCAGGGCACGGCTTCTATGATGACTGACAACGTGCGTGTTCTTCACCCCTGCATCCGCTCGCTCTATCTGCACGGCCTTTGTCCTCCCCGTCCTTCGTTCATGATGTTTCGTCTGTGGTCGACGCACCTATCCACGAACAGTACCCCACGACATCGGTGTACGACTTAGCGGGGATGCACGACGACAGCGCGGCTATGTTTGGGGCGAACGACGGAGGGCGGGCGGCGCAGAAGACTCCCAAGGGCAGCGGCGGAAAGAAGCGACCCAGCGGAAAACGAAGCGACTAACGAGAGTCGTTCATTGCTGCTGTCTGTGTTGTGCCTAGTGTGCTGTAAAAACCGTTGTGTTTTCTTTTGGTCGGTTCTGATGGCCATGTGCGAAGGAGTGGCGAAAGGTGTAGTCGTCTGATTGGCTGGCCGGAGAGAGAGAGAGAGAGAGAGAGAGAGAGAGAGAGAGAGAGAGAGAGAGAGAGAGCGCAGCAGCAGAGACGATGTCCGAGATTTTCTTGAGAGGAACCACCGCTTGAGGAATTTTGCCCGCGTCAAGTATTGTGCAAGTCAAATACGTGTGGATATCGCAGTTTGTCGTTGTCCAACATCCCGGCCTCTCCCGGATGTCTGGGATTCTTGAGGGTACGGGTCCTTTCCTCCCTCCCTTCCTTCTCTGAGGACGCCATTCTTGGCGGCATGCCAGCCTTGACCGATGCTGTCAACGCACACCACCAGCGGCATCCGAACCAGCACACCCAGTCTTGTTTCTGATCCAAGGTTGGACTTTTTTTTGTCACGGGCACCTGCACACTTTCATGTAGGGCTGCTTTGCTGCGTTTTCCCAGTGCACGATGTACTGGTCTTGTCTTCGTCATGACTTGGCGAAGGGGGATGCTGCGAGGTACCTGGTACGTGTCCGATGTGATTTCGACATTGCACGGGTGGAAAGCATCTCGACACAAGTTGCACATGCGACAACACACGCCGCGATGCTTGCCAGTCCGATCTGTGTGTCCGTTGATTCTTTTTGAGGGGGTCGGGGTATAAAAGATGGCGGTGGTGAGCATATACCCAGGTCCATTCGGTGAGTTAGATTACAAAATAAAGTTTCTGATTTACTGCGTTGTTTGCTCGCAGTCAACGACACCACCAACGAAAATCACAAAGGATCCAAAGCATAAATACCATGCGAACGCGTTGAACGCCGCTTTGACAATACGAGAGAGCGACTCTAAGAGAAGACAAGGGCGTCTTGGTTGCCCGTTTGAGCCAAAGCACGAATCACAAAGCGCCGACCGAACTCGCCTCAATCTGTCAGCCCTTGAAAAAAGAAACAAGAAAACGAAGAGAAAACGACCCCTGTACCCAATGTTGAGCTGTCCCACCCCATACGAACAGCCGCAAATGAACACACCCACAAACACCAAAGAGCGGTTCGGTATTCAAAACCCTACCCTATGCGTACGAACTCAAGCTTCACACAACAAGACGGACATGTACCAACTGGCGAGCAGAAACATGCAGGCACTCGAAAGTTACGCGCCTTTCTGCAGAATACAAACCTGTCAAACCTATCTTGCTACACTAATCCGGCCCCCGTCTCGCCCGGGCGGGCCGCAAAAATTCTGCAACGTTTCCCGACAAACTAAAAACAACTGTCAAGACTTAGGATACCACCGATTGATTGCGTTTGTTTGGAGTCAGCAACTAAATCCCCACGAACGACGAGTTAGTCACCGCTTTAAAGCCAAGTGACAGAGCGAAGGAGGGGAGGGGGGGGGAGGGCGACGTGAATGAAAACAGTACCTATATTTTCTCCCAACGTCGCCGCCCCCCCCCTTCATCCAGTGAGTAGCCCTCCCCGATTTCCATTTCCTCATTGTGCCGTCTACACCCAACGTATCGTGTCTCACGCATCCACGTTGACTGGTACGTCGAACGAGAACAAAAACGAATAGAACGCGATGCCGTTGGAGTGCAGAAAAAGGTTGCTCATTCAATCATGTCCCAACAACAGCAGTGGACCAGTGGTGCTAGCCCGGTGGTCAGGCCTCTTCAATCTAAAGATGCAATGCATACACGCCGCTTTCTCGCACACAAGGCCAGACAACAGCAGTAATAGCAAAAGCAGCAGTCCGAAGCCAATCCCTGACAAAAAAAAAGAGAGGAAAACGTTGCCCTCCGCGACAAGCCGCAACCAACCGTCACCAGCTGCAGCCCTGCACCACTTCGGAACCCTCCGCCTACGCCGGTGGCGCGCCCGACACTGCGGGCATATCCGCTGCAGCGGGAGGGGCCACTGCAGGCTCCGCCACCGGCGCCGCCGGCGGAGCAACGGCGGCGAGCGGAGCAGCAGCAACAGCCGGCAGCGCAGCAGTAGTCGGTGGAGCAGCAGCAGTCAGCGGAACAGCAGCAGCCGGCGGCGCAGCAAAAGCCGGCGGCGCAGCAATAGTCGGCACAGCAGCAGCAGCAGCTGGGGGCGCAACAGAAGGCAGCGGAGGAGCGGCAGCCGGCGGAGCAACAGCAACCGGTGCAGCAACAGCAGCCGGCGGAGCAACAGCAACAGGTAGCTGCTGTTGCTCGACCGGTGGCTGCTGTTGCTCGACCGGTAGAGCAGCAGCCACGGGTGGAGCAGCAGCCACAGGTGGAGCAGCAGCCACAGGTGGAGCAGCAGCCACCGGTAGAGCAACGGCGGCCGGAGGGACAACAGAGGCCGGTGGAGCAACAGCGGCCGGCGGAGCAATAGCCGCCGGCGGAGCAACGGCCGCCGGCGGGGCAACAGCAGCTGACGCAGCAACTGCAGCAGCAGCAGCGGCGGTAGCAGCGGCAGCAGCAGCAGCTACATCCTGCACCATGGCAGGGGCCGGGGCGGCGTGTGCCGCTTCTACAGTCTGCGGAGCCCCTACCTGCTGCATTTCTGGTGCTACGGGCGCTGCTACAAGTGCCGCTACAGGCACCGCGGGTGGCATTGCCTCCGTCGCCGGAGGCATGGCCACCGGCGACTCTTCCGTTGCCATCGGTGTGGGCACGACGGGCGCAACAGCCGGCGCGGGAGCAGCTGCCGCGCCACCAGGTCAAGTTTTCGAAAGAGAGCGACGGTCAAGAACGCACAAGGGGAAGTCAACGAAAATCGTCAGTGCGTGTTTTTCGATGGGAAAAGTCGGCCTGAGACGTGAATTGCCACTCCTCCGCACACCAAGAACAAGTCGACAAACCGACGCACAAGTAGGGGTCCTGCAATCTCGAACGGAAACGCCACGTGTCACTATGAAAACACTGAGCCTAAAATATCCCACCTAGCGATGTTGGAGCTGCTTCGGGGGCTATCGCATAGCCCTGCACGGCGGGCATCGCGGCAGTGGCTGCTGCTGCTGCTGCTGCTGCTGCTGCGGCGGCGGCGGCGGCGGCGGCCGCGGTGTTGGCAGCGGTGGCGGCAGCGGTGGTAGGGGGCGGGGGGAGCACGGTACTGGGCAGCGTGGGGATGCCGGCGGGCATGGGAGCGGCCATGAAGCCGGCTGGCATCGTCAGCGATGCCGCCGCCGCCGCCGCCACCGTCGACGCCGGTGCCATGGGGGGGTACGTGGAAACCGCCGGGAGAGCAGCGGGGGGTACGTCCATGCCGCCTTCCCTCTGGCGCTTGGCTGCAGGCGAGTAGGTGGCGTTGGATCCTCCCTCTCGCGCGGCGCCGATGGAGGGGTCTTCCATCTCGATGCCGGCCCTGTCCTCCCAGATGCGCACCTGTTTTTTTTTTGTTTTTGGTTGGGGGTGTAGGACAGCGGCGGTGAAAAAGGCGCTCCTTGCTTCCCGCACGCCGGTGTGCGTTGCGCCTTAACACGCTGCTGTGCTACCGAGAGGAGAGGAGAGGAGAGAAGAGGATATGGTCGAGAGAGAAATAACCAGGAAAATAGGAGCCACATTCTACAAGATCAGAGCGCCATACCAACCACGACCCTTGTGGAGACATCCCATGTAGAGACCAACAGCAGTGCTCCCTTGCGAAGCAACGACTCGTGAGTTCGACTGCAATAGCGGCAGGCTCCTGAGGGGGGCGTACCGCACACTTTTGGTGCGACAGGGCGGGAACAAGGCCAGGAGAGCGTTGTTGTCGTGTAGTCTGCGTCAACGACTTCAGGTGTCTACGAGCCGCCCGCCCACCTCAAGGGGCGGCGGCGACACAAAGTGGTCTTGACGCAGAGAATATACACTGAGGTACTGTAGAGGTGCCGTGTGCCGGTGTGTGCCTTACCGACTTGTCCTTGGTCATCCCGCCGGAGGCCAGTAGCTTGTCCGCCATCAGCTTACCCTTCGCCACGGTCAAGACCGCATCTGCCAAGCGGCATGAAACCGACCGAGGGTAGGTCATACGATGCAAATACGAATGGTGCAGACATGGTGAAAGGGAGATAGAGAGAGAGAGAGAGAGAGAGAGAGAGAGAGAGAGAGAGAGAGAGAGAGAGAGAGAGAGAGAGAGAGAGAGAGAGAGAGAGGTGAGGGAGACTCGGACGGCGAAACAGCCTGCGGCAACTCCACACACGCTTGGGGCACCGCGATCAGCACGAGCTCAGCAGGTGTGTGAGGGATTGGGGAGTGAGTGGATCCGTGAGTGCGTGAGAGGGTATGTGAGTGAGGCCCAAAGCTAGAGTCGTGACATCCTTGCCTTGGTGCAACCACGGGCAAGAAAAAAAAATATTACGCGTCGTCGCAGGTCGGATGGTACGTGGCAGCCAGAGGGATGGAAGTGATTAAATACCGGCGCCTTCATCGAGGTTCTATTTCCTGCCTGAAGGTCATCATAAATATTTAGGTGTCGGTTTTCATTCTTCGGACAAGATCAGTGCAGACCCTACTATCACCTTGTGATTGCACCCATCTGTGCATACCCACGTCGTGAGCGCCGGTACAAGGATATGTATTGCCGGTAAGATGGCGTGCAGTGTTTCAGACGAAATAATCTGGGGTGTTTTCTTTTATACTAATAGTACGCCCGTGATCCCCTTCCCCTCTCCTGACCCCACGACCACCCGCGCCACCCAAGATCGTGCTTCTATTCCACCATGTCTGTTCGTCACCGCGTCAGCAGTTGTCGATATCGTCTCGCAGCATGAACAACTCACTAAATTCGTCGGGACAGCAGTCCTAACTTACGGGTTAAAGCACCACACGCGGCGCGTGAAGCAAGCCTCGTGTATGCACGCATCATTTCGCAACCAAACCCCTTACAACCCAGTCAGCATGAGACACGTCAGCGGCTGGCCGGTCTCGAACGGCCTGATTTCGGTTTTGCTATTTTGCTAAGAAACCTCACCGCTGTGCCCCTGCAGCCTCTGCACAACCGACTTGCTGCTGTTGATGTCCCAGATGTAGATGCTCCCGTCCTCGGATCCGCTGACGACGCGCTTGTTGCCGTCGAAGCAAGCCGTCACCGAGTAACGCCGATTTACGTGTCCCCTGCCGGCGTTCCGTGAGCAAAACAAAAGAGAAACGGCGGATTACGGCAGGGAGGGCGGCGGAACATTGCGAGAGAGGGAAACAGAACTTTGGTTGCGTGTATGTGTCAGCGGGCGGCGGAGGCCGGAGGAAACACATTTAACGAACGCGAAATCGATCAAACAACAAGCAAGCTACATACTTGTAAGCCGACGAATATAAACGCACAAGAGGCAAACAATCAAGAGGGGGGGGGGGGACATAAACGCGTGGGTGGGGGGAATCCGAGAACAGAGAACGCGAAGAAACATGATTGGGGTGGCGGGCGGGGCAGACGTACAGTATAACCCGTGGGTATCCCAGCAGTCAGGGTCTCTCCTTTGTTGCTCTGTTACGCTCCTATCCGTTCCTACTCCCTATTTCCTACTTCCCTCACTTGTAGGTCTTGACGCATTTCGTGTCGTGACCGATTTGCCACAGCCTGAGGGAGTCGTCCAACGTGCCGGCCAGCACGTACTTACCGTTGGGGGAGAAGGTCGAGAACGACCTGCAGAATTGGTTTTTCGGAAATGTTGTTGTCGTGAAAATATGAGAACGAGAGCCGACAGCCAAAGGGAAATCGACAACGGTAGTGGTGCAGGGTGTGTGAGAGAGAGGAGGGGGCGAGATAGTGGAGGGGAAAGAGACAAAGGAAGGCTGCCAACTTCGTGCTTCGAAGACGAGGACGCTAACGGGAATGGCACCGAACCTTCAACTGTGACGACGTAACGAATAAATTATGCACGACGTCATGACGGCACACTGCTGTGTGCACAGGCAAGACCACAACCGCTGTTTTCCTCCGGCACCATCAACAAAAGGCGTTGCTGACGCACGCTAAGACCGTCCACGAATACCCTCCTCTTGTCTGCCGAAACACGTGTGACGACAGCGACTCACACAGACGGGTTGCCCTCGGCGAAGATAGTCTTGAGACATGCCCCGGTGCTGCTATCCCACAGGCGGCTGACGCGACAAGGGACAAAAGACACAAAAAGAGTATCAACAGAACCGAGGCACATGGAGGAACTCTTCGGCGGGGGCGTCAAAGGGTGGAGGATCGGCAGAGGTACTGCGAAATTGCACCCACTTACGACGGTGCCTCAACGTTACCACACCAAGAGACCGACACCGCCGCGGTAGCCCAGACCGGTCAGGGGGTTAGCGCTAACAACAGTGCCCTCGGCCCTCACCACTGCGGTTAGCACAGAAACCACCTTCCTCATTGCTAATAACAACACCGGCGGGGAAGTAGAGTAGAATACCCGTCTACAAGAAGACGCGAGAAAGAGCATCTCGACACGTGGCCCTGCTCACAACGGCACACTAAAAATACTTGGACGCACACGTGAGGTATTGGGGAGAAAGGAGCAACCAAATAAGCTCACACGGGAGGCAACGACTAGAGAGCAGCAACCAACATCATCTGGTATCTACTTGGTACGCGGCAGAAGCATGTGGAACGCAAGCGCACGGCAACCCGTTCGGGAAAACGTCCAGTTTCGCGCACGCACACAAAATGGGGGCATGTTTCTTGAAACTCTGCGTGCATTTACCCAATTTAGTTGCAATTTGCAATTTTTGGTTTTGGGGAGGACATTCGTGTGGGTGTTTTTATTTTCTCGTTCAACTCTGATAATGCTTATGCTTATCAAGAACACGTTTGATTTCGTAGTATCTGTTTTAGGGGAGGACGCATGAAGGAGCTTACATGAGGCCATCCGCGCTTCCCGATACGACTCCGGTGCCGTCCGCGTTGAAGGCGGCGGCCGTGACGGGCTCCGAGTGTGACGCCATCGTGCGAAGGCACTTGCCCGTTGCCACGTCCCAGATCTTCACCTTCTCGTCGAAGGACCCGCTCACCTACAGTACGTACGTCCGGCAATCATACGACGCGCCACAAGACGGATATATAAAATCAGCGCGGCTCTACGTGGCATGCATCACAGCACCCTTGCGTCCGTCGAATCGTGTTGTTTTACGGGGCGAGAGACACCACAGGAGATATGTACCAGCACTGCGCGGGGGAACACGCGTACATCCCATCCCATCCCATCCCATCCCATCCCATCGCATCGCACCAAGAGCAGCCGAAGCCATCCATGAAACCAAGCTTGGACGAGACACCAAGCTCAACATATCTTACACTAGAGGTATAAAGTCCCGCGAGCCGCCACGCGGATTGTTTTCGGGTCCTCGTCGACGAAAACCATCCAACCAATATGAACAACCCTGCTGCTTAACTCCGACCGTTCTCCTAGTACTCACCAGCAGGTTTGCCTGAGGATTGTTGAAGTTAACGCAGAAGACATAGTTCTCGTGGCCTTCCATGCTCTGGACTTCTTGCCCCTGAAGTATCATCGAAGGTACCATCGATGGGCCGCAAAACAAGGTTTCCGTAGCCCAGAATCGCACAAAAACACACCGAAAACACCGCGGCATAGGCGAGAGTGGGAGTGGGAGGCCGGGCAGGGGATGGCGAACATGAACATCACAAAACGCGCGGTGCAATAAATTCACTATTTTGCTGCAGCACAAGCGAGCGACTAAACAGAGGATGGAACAGGACGGTACTGAACACAATATCAGAAGGATTCATGACGCCCCACAAGCAGAGTAGCAGCACCATCACTATCAACAACAACAACAACAACAACCCGGCATTGTATTGCAGGAATTCAGCTCACAAAGCAACCACACGACAAGGGAGGTGAACACGGATGGATGCACTCACGCACTACGCCATTTATCCCGGTGCGGGTCAAGCGCATTAGAGCAGGACCAGAATAATTTGGAAATCCGTATACATTTCGTGTAATATACATAAATACCAGCATGTTGCCAGTGAAACAACCACACGAACCGTTCTATCGCACTACATTTTCTTCCATCAACCCCATCACAATTAAAGCAGCCAATCTCATCAAAGGTTTCCAGCATCTTGTTGAGCTTTGTCCATGAACGAGTGGTAACCTCGCAACCCTCTAACGTATCGTTCGGGACGTAGGTCTGCATCGCGCCTAAGTCACAGCTTTCTGTCTCACATTTCACTTCACCCGAAGAGTACAAATGCGCGCAACGTAAAGCGATACGATTTCAGCGAGGGAAGGGAATGGCTCTCCTTGGCCAGTCGGCTCGACTAGTCAATGCAAATTTCAGAAACTCGCACTATCTACAGTGGGGTGCCCTATCTAGAGCCGGCATATGCCCAGGCATTTGGCCAGCACAATACCGGGCAACGGCACTGATCAACCGGCACAAAAACAGAGCCCCCCCCTCACTGTATTCTGATGCTATCCGTGCGCCCACACCATCGATTTCTCAGATAATATCCTTCCTTCCGTACCGTCTCCACGTCGAATATCTTGATGAGCTTGTCATCAGAGGCCGTGGCGATCTTTCGACTGTTTTCCGTCCATGCGAGGTCCGACAGCCCCTAGATCAACCGCACGGTGACGTGATGTGATAAGGATAGGGCACCAAGGGATGAGAGAGGGACAGGGGGGTAAGAAGCGCGGAGATAAAAGACGGAGAGAGTCCCAACACATGACAGTGTGGACTTGTCAGGATAAGAGACAGCAGTGCCGTGCTTTCCGCAGCGGAAAGGTGGTGGACGGCAATTTCCAGTGGCTCAACATAGGCAACTTTTCGGCACAGGCCGCATTGCGGCAAAACTTGAGAACGCATCAAGTATAATAGTAGATTTTCGGTGCAGTGCAGCAGAATATTGTGGCGGTCTCCAGGTGGGCGAAGGCCACGCAGAATGCAAGCGTTGAACAAGAGCTACAAGAGCTACAAGAGTGGCACTCCGCACCAACACTACACCGCTTGATTCCAATTTCGAAAGCAGGCGCCTCACTCAATCGAAACCGACTTATCTTGCGAGAGGGCAAGCCCGGAGTGTTGATGCTATTGGCCCAGCTCTCATGGGATCGAGTGGCAACAGCAACTACCCATGGTCCCGTTACACACCCCTACTTGTACCGTACTACTCTGCCAAGTACGAACAAACATCGAACCGCCGTAAGGTTCACGCCACCACTAACCTGGGCGTGGCCGGTGAGCGTGTTGATGAGCTTGCCGTTACCAGTCTCCCAGATCTGGACGGTTTTGTCGGCGGCTGTGGCGCCAGAGAAGGTGCCAAACAACATACGAGTGACAGCAGGAAGAATTCTGTTCAGACGCAGGACAAGCCAAACATTATGGTGTTTTCTCTTAGATCACAAAAAGAAAAGCACCGCGATGTGATGAAAGCACGAAGACGACCATGGACAAACGCCGAAAAATCAGGTGGCTGCAGAGGAGAGCACTACCGGTGCGGGCATGCATGGGCTTCCTTGTGAAAACTTTCGGACTGCTCTATTTAGAAACATCAACTCCTTCATGACTTGGGCTGGCATGCGTACTTAAACGCGCTGAAACTCAACGGAGTTCGCGTTCACGGGTGTTAGCTTTGTGCTACACTAGACAGAACAATTACGATTCAAGATAGGACATTCGACAACTCAAACAATGTTTGGGAGCACCCGCCATGTTGCCTGTGTAGTCTTGAAAATACCCTTACTTGTGGACACCTTTGTCTTGGTGTGAGAGAAGGCGTGTGGAGGCAGAAAACATGACTTGCTGGTGGAGACAAGCCGCATCCGCTGCTCTGCTCTGTGCGACAACGAACGAATTCACATGTCCCCGACGGGTCTTTTCTACTCGTTGTTTGCCGTGTGTGATTACTGAGTGCTCGTTCGGTCGTGTTCAAAATCGTCAATATATCAAGGTACGGATCCTCACCCGACCCCACAGAAATCAATCAAGTGCTTCGTCACTGCATGTAGCATGCACATGGACAAAAAACATCATTTCACCAGCGAAAGAGACTGTGATAGTGTGTACCCCCCCCCCGGGAAAAAGGCCGAAGATGTGCTGTGCTCGCTTTCAAGGTCAAGTGAGGTCGGTTCAACACGGGGCTTGCGGGGTTGTTTATTGCTGGGACCGCCGAGCGAGACTAAGATTTTTCCTCCACTCACTGAAAAGATTCCACCACATCCCGTTCGACTGTGGGTATATCTCGAATGGGTAGTCTTTCTGTGTGTGTATTTATTATTCCTTAATTTCATGACGAAACAAAACAGGGAGGGGGTACGCAGACCCTATCTCCTAGCCCTAACCCCAACCCAACTTCCCCGATTGAATGCCTTATCCAACATGTTTACCTACATGACGAACCCTGCGAAGGCTGCTGTTGTGTTGTTGTCGACAGCAGTGCCATAAGTTCGTAGGTACCGTGGTCTTACGTCAACATGAACGTTAAACACTGCCAAAAGAAAAAAAGAAAAATACGCGCGAGATTGCATAATCCATGTACTGCTGTACCATGCTATGCGTATGGATCTACAGATAAAAGGGAGTTGCGCATTTCAGACCTGTGTGCAGTGCAAACCGCGTGTTCCTTTCGATATAAATACAATAAATACAATAGGAGCTGGCTCGGATGTCACGGCAAGGCGCCATCAAACATGGGGTGGAAAGCCTGTAATTGGTGGAAGCATACCAGTTGTTACCGTCAGTTGAACGGGTCGGAAGAACAAAACAGGCTACATTTGGCTACATGGTAATATGGAAATGGACATGTAGACGATGACAATCAACCTTGATCCCACGAGTACCGTGGAGTACCGTGGGTACGCGTTGATGTGCTGGTTGCGTCTCTCTTCTGTCGAGAGGTGCCTACCTACTTTCAAACCAACGTGCCGCGGGGTGTGGAGTGCATGTGGTCATGTACAAATACGGTGTGCGGATCTTCAAAGCTGAGTAGAAAGGAGGAGGTTGATCGTAAAGTTGATGGACGGGAGAAAAAAAAAAAACAGCATGGGAAACGCTGCTTGGTGCCTGCTGGACGCCAATCGAGATCGCACCAAAGACACAGGTTGTACGTTGTTTCCCCAAGAAAAGCTGTCCGTGTGGCGTGCGTTAGCAACAGATAGACGCTCGACGGCATCATCCCCCTATATAGACAACTGGGCGGATGGGAATGATGATGATGGGCCAAAGCCCGAAGCCTCCCCGCACCCCGCCCTTTGAGCTATTCAAAAAACAAACACGCCTTATACCACGAATAAAAGAGCAGGCGCGCGCGAAGGAAGGATGTCACTCACAGGCACTGCCAAGCAAGGTTCCTCCCGGGGAGAACTTCACGGCAGCCACGGCGCGCCGGTGGTAGCCACAGATGGTCTTGCGCTGGTAGTTGCATGGCGGTATCTTGGACGGCATGATGATGGCTCAAATTACGGCTTCGGAGGTCCGGTGTTGTCTCTCGCTCTCTTCCTTCCTCCTTCTCCTTTCTCCCGCCCAAGTCCTGCGGGATCCTAGCACCTCACGTGCGTGCTACGGCCTCGTAGTCTCTAGCTAGTGTCCGCCCCACGGCTTGTGCCAACAAGCGGACGGCGGTGGCTATCCTCCCTTGTCCCTTTTGTGTTGGGGTTGATGGAGTTGGCTTACACAGCCCCGAAAAAACATCGAAGGCTTTTTGACTCAGGACGTACGTGAACGATCATGGCGTCGATAGAAGGACGTGCGGAATGACCACCCCCAACCAACACAGCAACAGCAGCACTGATAGAGGGGCTAAGCAGAGCTAGCGCCTTGGCATCCGAAGACACCACCCTAGCAGAAGCCATGACAGCTAACGAAGGTGAGATAGAGAGAGACAGAGGGCGGGAAATGCATACCGAGGAGAGGCAACAGCCGCCCTTTTTTTGTTCTCCAAGGACAGCAGACTTGCTGTGTGTGCTCGCATTTCGATTTGCATCTGCTGCATCTCTCTGGAGTTCTCTCCCTTCGACGGTGCCAAGGATCCCTACGCACTGCCGTCTTACATACGTGTGGTAAGGTGGTGAGCTGTGGCCTATAGGCAGGTCGATGGGGGTGGTGCCCGCCACACGCTCTCTGCTCTTCGCTATGCGTGACCTGTGTGATCGGGGTAAAGCAGAGAAAAAGCTCCGCCTTTGTTGGTGGGTGATGTGACCAGGAGCAACCGTGCCTTACAGCGGTACATATCAGAAGCCGCAGCAGAGCACAGGCGAAAAAGGGGCGTATCTACAACAGTAGCTGCAGCAAGAGTACAATCAACAGATATGCATTGGTGCTTACCATCAGCACGCAAGTGGAAAACCAACAGCGAAAGAGGGAGCTTACATTTGTGACCACAACCAATAACTTTTCAATATTTGCAATTTGAAACATTCTCGAGACACACACGGCGATAGGGACACAGGACCAATCGCATGCACTCACACCAAGCTGACGGAGCACAGCTTGTTCATAGTGGCAGCGTCCGTTTTCGTAGTCTAGGGCTGCTGCTACCGCTGCTGCTGCTGCTACCGCTGCTACTGCTGCTGCTGCCAGTATCAATCTCTTTCATATGCAGATGTACTTATCCTGCAGTTTTTTCCGTCTGACACAACACAGCAGCAACACAACCAGCACCGCTGTAGTTCCTGCTGAATCGTCCCGGCCAACGCGTTCTAGAAGAGCCCGCCTTTCGTGGCACGGTAACAGCAGATCGGCGCAAACCTGGCACAGGAGTTACTATACTGTTGTGGGCCCCAGTCTATTGTTCGAGAGAGGGTGATACGCGACTGCTACGTTCTTGATGTTGTTGTGTTGTTATTGTTGTCGTCGTCGTCGTTGTTGTTGTTGTGCGGAGATTGCGTAGATCTTTCAGGTTCGGCGGGAGAATATCGTGATGTTGGGTACGAACAGCAGTGCTCCTATTCGCTGCGCAACAGCAGACTACTACTGCTGTTGGCGACAAAAGACGTTCAGCTTCGGCAATGCGTGAGAAAACGACAAAAAACGGCGAACACGGCGTCAAGCCTACATAACTCTATTTCTTGAGGGACCGGCCATTTCAGGCCGAGATATGTAGTCCGCATCATCGGTCAAGCGCGAGCAATAGCAATGGGCGAAGGAGCGATCGTTACAGCAACTCCCACGTGTTTGTTCATGACAGCGTGCGTTCTGGTGGCCACACGTGGCCGGTTTGGGCCTGCCTCGAAAAAAATGTTGATCAGATTTGGGGAAAGGGAAAAAAAAGGCCGCGGTCCACGCGTGTGATTCAAAGCCTGGTTGTTGGTTGAGTTTCAGTCTCGAGCACCCGTTCGCGAAAACTGGCGGCGTTCATAGTACAGTCTGTGGGCATCCCTATGTATCCCGTGGCAGCCACAGCAACACAAGGCCAGGTTGGGGCCCTCGACCCGCCTTCTTGTTTGCCCACTTGCTTGGAAACCTGTCCCTTGGCCCAACCTCGAGGCCAGCACTCCTTTTCCACAATGGGAGGATCGATGTCAACTGTTGTGTCAAGTGTTGACCAGGCAGTGTCCAAGTGGATTGCGACGTCCATATGCACCCCCGTGTCCGCATCAGACGATCAGACTTGGTTAGCTTCTCCCGACGGCAGATAACTGCAGGCCGTGGTGGCACACCCCCCACTGTCGATAACGTGCCGCTATTGCGGAGCCCCCCCCTACCTTCGCGTAGTTGCAGCAACTCACAATTGTCCCTCGTTCGTTCCCCCACCGACGAAAGGTCCATTTCGAAATTTCGAAAGTTTCCCTTAGTCTTATGGTTACCGGCTCTGTTCTGATATCCTTTGTTCCCCCTCATTCTCTTCTTCCCACTCGGTACAAAAACATCGACAACCCTGTTGGGCAAAAACCCGGTGCCCTCCCCCCTTGTTTTTGTGCGGGACTGCCAAGGTTTGTTGTTCGAAGATTATACCCCCCCCTCCCCTCAAGGAACGATTGGCCATCGGTGATCGGTCCTGTGGGAACAGCAGTGCTCCGTCCTCTCGAGGACGCGTAGTCAATGGTCTAACCGCTAAGGCATGCAAAACATAAGAGTACGCCCCCCCACCCCCCCACCCCCCCACCCCTCCTCGCCCTCTTGCCGGACTCCCCTAGCGGAGAGCGCGTCATACGACTATGACCTCGCCGTTATCGGAGGTGGCTCCGGCGGGATGGCTGTGGCCAAGAAGGCCGCCTCCTACGGAAAAAAGGTGACACTACGAAGCCCCCGATGTACAACTTTGCCCTTGATGTGTGCGTCTTTTTTTTTTAACATTAGTTTTTTTCCTTCCCCGAAAGCGTACCACCTGGAGAATTAAGTGGAAGTATAAGTATCCTTCGGCCACGAAACCGTTTTTTCTCGATTCCTTGTGGGTGACCCCTCCCGTTTGCCTTGCCTGTAGTTCCCTTCCCTCCCCTCCTCTGTATCATATTTTCTTTTTCATGTGTTAATTTATCTCCCCCCGCCCCCCCTCTCTCCGCAATTTATTGTTTCTTCCTTGTGGATGATGAATCCGACGCGGTGTGAATGTGAAAAAAGGTTGTCTTGTTCGACTTCGTGAAACCGTCGCCCCAAGGAACGAAGTGGGGGCTCGGGGGTACGTGCGTCAACGTGGGCTGCGTGCCCAAGAAGCTGATGCACTATGCCGGCCTTCTCGGTGAGGGGACTTACAGCATGTACAACAACGGCAGTGCGGGAACACGTCTCATGGCATCTTAGGGGGTTGCGTCGCGTTCCAAGCTTTTTTGCCGGCGATCTTTTCGTTGATGGGTGGATGGTACGCAGGCCCGGCCTCCTATTGCGTCTTTTTCAGGGTGTTGATCAACGTGGCTCTCTACGAAGATGTTTGGGACAACATAATGTAGTCTGTGTTGTCCTTGTTTGGTCATTCGAAGAAAATCGCGGGCTCTTGACGTTACCTTTCTCCTTTTTCACTCGCGCTGCGGCACACACGCTTGTCTTGGGGGTGCGTTGGGGACTCCCTTGGCGTGATAACAGGGGCCGGCATGCACGATGCGAAAGCCTTCGGCTGGAAGGTTGGAAACCCTGAGCACGACTGGGAAGCGATGGTGGAGACCGTGCAGAACCATGTCAAGATGCTCAACTTCCGGTACCGCGTGGGGCTCAAGAGCGCACAGGTGGGTGAATGAAAGAGCGATTTTTTTTCCTGTTTTTTTTTTTGTTGTGCTGTTTGCCGCGTAATGTTTTTCTGTTTTCGTCGCCACTGCGCGTTTCGTTTGTGATACAGTTTTTGACCAATTGGCTACGTTGTTTTCCACTCGGTATTTGAGCCTGGTCTGTGCCCCTGTAGAGGGGGTGACGCGGTTCCGGATGCGACGAGATATCGGCTGGTGTTCCGTTCGCGACTGAGGTTTATTTGTGTGTGGCGCCGGCGAGCCAGCGGCGTTCACTCCATTGTGTTGCCAAGTGTGTGTTGGGCATTGACCGACGGACGACGTGGTGTCGTGTCACGTATCCTTAGGACACGTGCGTGACATTTGTATGGACCAGCCGACTTGTGCTCTCTTGTTTTTATCCGGACATGCGTCTTTGAGGGTGACTCAGTCCTCGACTCAATCTATGGTGATGGTGATGGTGATGGTGCTACAACCACGACTTCATGCGCGGCCCTGCCTGCCTGCCATTGTGTATGTCTGTTTCCAGCCTGTGAGAGTCTAAATGTGAGCTTCACTGCTGCTGTGTTGGTGCAACGTAGGGTAGTAGCTTTGTCAGGTGCCTTGTTGACAGCGCCAGCGCCCGGGATCATCATTACAGCAGCAGCAATCAGCACCGCAGGCCCCCTCGTCCGGCCCACCGCTTGTCTCTTCCATCGAACCACCTCTGCGATTGCCACAGAATACGTGTGGACTGACTTCACAGATGAAGACAAATTGTCCTGCCCTGTCCTGTCCTGTCCTGTCCTATCCTATCCTGGCTTGTACTTGTATTTCCTTCTCAGGTAACTTACGTGAACGGTCTGGCGAGGCTGACGGGTCCCCACGAGGTGACGTGTGAGAAGCGAGGGAAGGAGACCAAACACACCGCGGCGAGGTGAATATTTTTTTTTCTCGTTTTTTCGGTGCGCCTCTCCTCAAGCGCACCACCACATTATTTGCCGCTAGTAGTAGTAAGAGGCACAGATACCGTAGGTTGTATACGTGCCACACAGTCATGGACCGATTGTTTCAAAGCTCGATCGCTCGGTGCCGACAATGGTAGTGGCGACGGTGCCGACAATGGTAACGTCGGAACCATCTCGTCGAGAGCTTTGCGAAAGGGCATCATGGGATTTTGTGTCCTCTTCATGGTCGAGCAGTAGAGCTTGAAGGTCGGGCTAGTCCAGGGGGTGTGGTATGTTACGCATGGAACCTACACCGCAACCTATACCGCACGGCGGTATACACCGTGGAATAGATTATGAAAGAATCCAAATGGACACTTGGGCTCCTTGACGATGGAAGGCAATGGTGCAGATCTTGCGTACCGCGGTAAAGGAAACGAGATACCTGCCAGCAAGTATTACAATATAATAGACGAATTGGTTCACTCTTAAAGCCAAGGAGGCCAATCTGGCAAAGCGTCCTTCCTTGTGTTTGTGTTTGTATGTAGTGTTAGACTGTCATGCTTGGTCGTGCGCCACTCGACCTTCTTCCGCACAGTCGGCGCGGCGGGCGTCACTGATGCCACTGATAACATTTTTGTTTTCTCGCCGCGGGACTGCTGACGTTTTTTTTCTGTTTGTTTTTTGTGTGTGTCCATTTTCTCCTCGTCGTTCCTGTCTCGATGTTTTTCGCGTGCTGACATGTGCTGTACTGTAGGGTTATCATTGCCGTGGGCGGGAGGCCCGTGATTCCGGACGACGTGCCCGGAGCCCGTGAGCACGCCTTGACGTCGGACGACCTGTTCTCCCTAAGAACATCCCCGGGAAAGACCCTTGTTGTTGGAGCGAGCTACATCGCCCTGGAGTGTGCCGGTTTCATGCGGGAGCTTGGGCTTGATGTCACGGTGAGGGTTAGTCGTGCTCCTCGGTTTCCTATGGTGAATAGATTCCTCGCCGCGGCCGGGGGGAGTACTCGTTTGTTGCATGGTTGAGCGGTTGGACAAATGACCGCGCGTCCTCGAGAGGACGGGGCATTGTTCCCCCAGGCCCGATCCCCGATGGCCTATCGTCCTTTCTGCTTTGCCAAAGGTAGCACAAGAATAGTCGGAGGGGGGGGGAGGGATCACTGTTTTTTTGCTTGTTTTGTCTTGTGGAACGGATCCCCTTGGTCGTCCTTTGGTGGTGCTGATGGGGTGATGTGGTGATGGGGACGGTCCGTACAGCAGTAGAGTTTTTGCTCCAGCTTTTCCTGTTGCCGGTGCCAGCCGTTGGTTGTTTCTTGACGCTCCTGCCACCCGTGCCCCTGACGTGACACTGCTCTGCTAAACATTGCTGGTTTGCTGTCCCTCGGGTCTTCTAGAAGTACAACACCCGGCGTGTCTGTTGTTGAATGGGAAACGTGCAACATACAATTAACATGCAACATAAAAAATGCAGGTGGCGGTGCGATCGATCCTGCTGAGAGGCTTCGACCAGCAGGTGGCCGAAAAGCTGGGTGACGTCATGAAAGATCTCGGGGTCAAGTTCGTGCGTCCCGCCGTTCCGTCCAAGATCGAGAAGGTGAGGGCGCCGCAGTTTGCTGTCCAAGACCCCCGCTCCCCCCTCCGCATGCTTCTGTCCCGCGATGTGTCGCAGATTTTGGGGTAGAAGGGTCTCGTAATGTATCCCGTCTCGCAAGTGACGGATGTCGGGAACAGGAACCTATGAGATAGCCAACGGAAGCGGCGCAAACGCGGATGCCCCGCGCGCCCCTTGTCCCCGGTCTAACCTCTGGATGTTTTCGGATCGGGACATGCCTCCTCCAATGGGAAACACCAGACCAGCGACGGCAAGCTGGAGGTGACACTGGTGGACAGCAAGAGCGGGGAGGAAGTGTCGAAGGGCACGTACGACAGCGTGTTTTATGCCACGGGCAGAAAGGCGGACACGAGTGGCATCGGCCTGGAAACCGCTGGGGTCAAGGTCAGTGGGCGGAAACAGTTTGGGGCTGCTGCGGCGGTGTGTATGTGTGTGGCAGACGCCGAGACGGCTCTCTCAACGACTCTTGTAAGCCTCTTGATGATCCTCTGTACGTGCATACACTACCCCCCCCCCAAAAAAAAAGAAAGGCTCGAAAGGGGCAGCTGCCTTGCCGCAGATTCAAAAACGTTTCGAAGTACCACTACATATTTATAACGCAGTATTTTTCGTCCAGGAAAGATACCGAATTAAGATTTGTTTGGCATGGGTTGACGAGGACGCGCGCCTTCGCTGACCCGTACCAATAAAGTTTGTTTCGTTTCTCAAATATCCTTGGATATCTTACACTGAAGCTGCGTGTACGTCCTGCAAACTGTTTTGATTTGCCTCTCTGGTTCTCTGGTTCAGGTTAACCCGAACGGGAAGATTCCGGTAGAAAACGAGCAGACGAACGTGGAGCACATCTTTGCCATCGGGGACTGCACGAGCGTGGACGTGATGTTCCACGAATCCCACTGGGCCAACCCCGAGTTAACGCCGGTGGCTGTGCAGGTAAGATCTATGTTGTTGTTGTTGTTGTTGTTGTTGTTGTTCTGCGGAGTTTGAAGTCCATACTTTTCGCCTCCTGTCCCATCTACAATATTCCTTTCCGTTTTTTCCATTCCGTAGTGATTCGGCGCTACCATCATCCGGGGAGCTCATGTTCCGCTTTCTCGGCTCGCCTAATTTTTTGGAACGTTCCGCTGTAACAGGCGGGGGAGCTTTTGGCGAGTCGCCTCTACGCGAGGGCCACGGAGCAGATGGACTACTCCCTCGTCGCTACCGCCGTCTTCACACCGGTGAAAGGCGTTGTCCTTTTCCTTATCCTTGTACAATACTCATCTGGATCGTGCGCGACGTGACGTGACCTAGTCGCGTTGGTCTTTTCTTGTCAAGTCGTCTTGAGCATGTGTTGTTTTTTTTCTGCGGATCTTACTATAGTAATGTTGGTCTTTTCTTGTCACGCCGTCTTGAGCATGTGTTGTATTTTTTCTGCGGATCTTACGCTTGTCTACTGAATGTAAACCAGCACACGACAATAGTAGTAGTTCAACTGGCACAGCTGGCAGCAAACAACAACAACAACAACAACAACAACAACAACAACAACAACAACCGCGTGTTGGCAGGTGGAGTACGGGTGCTGCGGGCTGAGCGAGGAGGATGCAATCCGCCTCTACGGGGAGGATGACGTAGAGACCTACCTCTTCGGCTTCGGGACCCTGGAGCAGTCGGTGAGACTTGCAGGACTACGCGCTTGTGTTGAATCGTCGTCGAGGGATGTACGTTCATGACGATAGCATGTGGGTCACCGGTGGGAATTGCGAGCTATAGATGAGGGCGCGCTCTTTGTGCACTCGACGTCGCAGCAAATGCTAGGGGTGCAGACGCACGGGAAGAAGAGAGTGCGCGGGACGCCTAAGGAGGTGCCTGAAATCGTGGACGTGTTGAGCACCGCGCAGCGCCACGTCATGGCAACTGTAGGGTGGGGTTGCATGAACCCGACGGGGCAGGCGGATGCAAAGCCTAGCCCTGGCTCTCTACCCAGACCATGAACACAGGGAGGGATCCCCGCACCAGCAGCTGGGTGCTTCTGGCACAAGAAAGAATGTCGACTCCTCTTGTTGGTGGTAGATATACATGCAGCTACCAGAGGATACCTCGATCCACCGACCGTGTGGATTGGTATACGTGTCCTTTCTACACGTGCAACAATGATGTTTTTGTGGATGACTGCCGTGTGGACAGCGATATCGGCACCGCAGTAGTGTCCTTCCATCAGACACGGGAACGGATGGCACCATCTTTTTTTGATAATTCGGTCGCTGGGCGCAAGAAAAAGTTTGAAGTTTTTTCCGCCTTGGAGCCTAGCAATTTTTCAACTGTTGTAACACAGTCGGTTCCTCGTTCATCGTTTGTGTATAGCCGTGTTTTTCGCACAGCTAAATCATGGCGCTACGGTCCCCATGCTGGCCATTCTACTACACCATTCCGTTGGCACCGCTCTGCTCAGGCCTGCTTCGATCGTGCTTCCAAGCTTTGGTTAAGTTGTCCGCAAAGTACGAGCCTGTTGTCGCAGAGCGGCGTAGAAAATGCGTGGAATACAGTTCGGGCAGACGTTTACCTTTTCTCCGAGGCACACGGTCCGTCTCCCCCAGAGCCGGGAACATGCGTCCACGGTACATCCGGCACACACAAAAAAAGCGTTCAAGGCGCGTATTTGGGTCGCTTACCAGCTAATGGGAGAGGAAGGTCGACCGCCCTGATGCTGTCATGTGTTGATTTCGAGGCACGTATTGCTACACGTTGTACATTTGCCACCACGGCAAATGTGACGATCGAAAGACATAGACCCCCACGATGTACGGGTACGTTCGGGCAACGCCAATCCCTTCTCCTATTGCCTCCGGTTGTGGATGAAATTTCCCCGACTGCCGCGTGCGCCAGGCTGCCCACCGTGTGAAGCACGTCGAAGGGGAAGAAGAAGACGACATGCCGGCGACCAACCTGAGCAAGCTGGTTTGCCTCAAGAGCCAGGGCGAGAAGGTGTGGCCTTGTTGGTGGTGTGGTGAGGGACGCATCTGATCGGACGGTGGTGCTGTTAGTTGTTGCGGGCGCGGCTTGTGGGCAGTGAAACACGGGGTGCGGCTGGTTTGCGTTGTGTTGTGTGTGTGTTGTCTTTGCCAAGGCGGTTTGGAGGCGTCATTGAGACGGATTTTTGTGAGTTTTGTAGAGGCATCACATGAGTTTGACTCGTGCCAGATGTGCGCACAGTGTTTGTTTGCACCGACCGCGCTAGCCGGCTGACCAATAAATGACGTCAGTCCCAGTGCCACCCAAACTGGCGACAACTCCTGAAGGCCGTCAACTGGGGTCCCTTGTGTGCATGTATGAGGCGTGTTGCCGGAGCCTGTTGTTTTTGTTCCCCCCTCTGGAACTCGTGATTTTGCCTGCGTTCACGCGAAGTTGGTGCAGTGATGCTTTCTTCTGCCCACGGGCCTGTCGGTGGTGGCCATGGCGTTGTGGTTGTAGGGGTCAGCTTTGGTGGGCGACGCTCAGCGGTTGGAAGACCCGACCGTGAGCTCGTGAGCTGCGATACGCACGACTCAACGTTTGGTGCAAGGTTCACATGTTCCTCACGTGTTCGTACGTGGCTTTGCTGTACAAACATTACTTCACCCTGACGCCCCCTTTTCCCACCTTACATGTGCTTTCGCTTCGTGTCTCTGCGTGCGAAGGTGATCGGATTCCATTTTGTGGGGCCTAACGCTGGAGAAATCACGCAGGGCTTCGGCCTGGCCGTACGGCTGGGGGCCAAGAAGTCCGACTTCAACAAGCTCGTGAGTATGCATTCCCTACCTCGTGCCTCCTTTTCTGTCGTAACTTTGGTTTGTGCGCTGGATATTGCTGCAGCTGACACACACTGCATCCGCACTCCTCTGCCGCTGTTGTTCTATCACGACGTGTGCGAGGCATGATGAAATCATCGTTGTTGTGAGGTGTACGGTTATGCGCCAGCCTGTGTTCCCGAACGTTGTGAGATTGTTAATTTCTATTTTTTATTTTTTCGGCGGAATCTGTAGGGAAGGGGAGTGGGCAGGGGGGATACAGCAATCCTGTCTGACCGACGTGACTTGTACTCCTGAATGCACACGAATCTGCTCCGTCGTCCCCGACCCTGTGCCTGCTACCCCCGCCCACATCACGTCACACGGACCCCTTGGAAAACCCCAACAACGATTATAGGTTGGTATCCATCCGTCTGACGCGGAGAGTTTCTGCGCGATGGGCATCACTCGTTCTTCCGGCGTCAGCTTTGTGGCAGAGGGCGGCTGCGGCGGGGGTGTTTGTGGATAAGGAGCCTCTAGTGAACGTTGCCGTCTGTGTTGACCATGGTATTTGGCGCGGTGGGGCGGTGCTCGGAGCTTTGACGGAATCGCTGCTGGTGTTTCGTGCTTTTTGTGCGGCGTGTTCTTCTGTTCTCCTGTGTTTTGGGGCGAGCAAGCTATTGTTCCCTCGCATCATAGGATCTGATGATGTTCTGAAGGACTTGTTCTTGGCCACATTCGCTAATGCATCACAGCAGAATTAGGCAACGAGGCGGCCCTCGGCCTCGCTCCCACTTTTTGGCGTAGGCTGCACTTGTAGGTCGAGTGCATTCTTCGAAAACGTATCCACGACCATGTTACTGTTTGTGGCACAGATTCGTGTTTTCCGTGAGGGAATGCTGCCGGCTGGCCTGAGAGATGCCCTCTGTATGATTTCGATTGGCGAAATGCAGGGGCAAATTGCTTGGGCAAAAGTTGCAAAGATCCGAGAGGCTTCGTCTACGCAAGTCTTGGCAAGTTTGACGGTGGAGAAGTCGCTTGTTGGCGGGCGTGGTCTTGTCAGGAACAACTCGATCCGACCTGGGACAGGGTGGCGATTGTCAGTTCATTTTCTCGATGCACGTTCGTATCCCTAGTACTGTACGTGTTGGCGCGCGAATGATTGCTCGTGTGAACACAGCTGTTGGGGACTTCTCGCCCAGCCGACGAGCACACTGAGTCGATGTCAATGCCATTGAAGAAGACGTCCCAATGCAGGGGGCACTGTCTTTCGACAGCTGGCAACGAGTTCTCGCTAACTGCCGTGGAGCAAAACTCGACAGCAAGAAGTTTGTTCGTGATGGGTGCTTCCATCTGGTAGTTGAGGACGGAAAAATAACTGAAGCGTCGCACTTGGGTTTTACACGCGATAAAGACCTGAGCTCCCTCGTGATTGGTTACGATGTTCCCCATCATATGCCAAGCCTTGATGGTGCTCCTCTCGTATTGACATCTGCCAACCACACGGAGCTAAAAGGTCTGGGCAAAGAAGCTATATCCCATATACTCAACACAAGGTGGTTACCTGGCTGGGTGTGAAGCTCACGTACGTTGTGGGATCGTGGTGGACACAAAGAAGGAAGAATACTGTTCGGAACGCAGGGAGAATCGACAAGCAAAGTTGGTGCTATGCATAATCCAGGGTAGCGATTACCTTCGCCGGAACGATTGCAGTTATCTGCATGTATGTGTCGATTGGCCTTATGCAGTTCACGCTCGGCACTCGAGGGGTCCACGGCGCTGTTGGCGCGGGAAGGCAAGAAAATAACAACACTTCAGGTGTTTTCACGGCAATTCGACCAAGACTTCGACATGAAAAACTAGTATGCACACATTGATTTTATTATAAATAAGCATACCTACGTCGTTTTACGCAGCAGGACGAAGGGTCTTATGACAACCGATCCCAAAACTGTGTCACAGGGAATCAATCGAAAACGAATGCGACACACAGCAGTATTTTGATTGGTCGTTCGGTAAGGAAATCTCGTATTTCGGGTGTGTATCCCGACGAATTATTGAAGCCGGTTAAAACAACTGTTCCATGCGGGGTTAATTCAACCTGCGATGGAGGCTCAAAAATCAATTCTCGAAGGGTTAGCTTTCACAAAAAAACAGGGAGGAAATGAAGCCTCTGTTGGCAGCTTAAGCTAATTTCTGGAGGTACGAAACACAAAATGAATGAAGATTTGTTTTTAATAGGAGTTATTGGCGTCCCACGGGGCGGCCATATGTGACCTAAAACAGAAGAAAGCTGAAATTTCGCGTTGCGTCTGTATGTAATGCCTGACTGACCCGTCGGGAAAATCTCATTTTTTCCCACGAAGCGCTTTGAATGCATTCGCTCTCCTCATTGATAGGCCCAAAAACGGGTAGAAAATGTTGTTTTTTTCATCGGCCAAACATTTTTCGAGATATTAGGGAAATGGTCAATATTCGACATGCGCGAGAATTCATTGTAGATTTCATCTTCTCCCCATGCGAAAGCGTTGTAGTAGTGCATCCGCCTGGACTGAACTGGCGCTTTGGCGAAATCTTTTTGTACCACCGTGTATTTTTTTTGGTGTGTATCAGCCCTCTTCTTGGGGGGCGCCCACAACTAACTACAGCCGGGACGGCCCCCAATTTTGGTGATGAGGAGCGAAACGAGAAGTCCGCCGGAACGTCAGCAGCGTGCCTTGGCATAGCAGTCTATCTATGCCGCATCGGACACGTTACAACCATTACGGATAAGGACGGTGTGATATTACGAGAAGAAGAGGGTAGTAATGGGCCATGGATGGATGCGGCCACCTATTGCTGAAGGCGCTGTTGAGCAAGAGGGAAAGTATCGCAAGGGTTGGCGCTCTACTTCTCTATAATAATGCAATACACGAGGACCCCACGACGTATGACCGAGTCCTCGACCCGTTTGGGTTGGAAGAATCCTTTGGTAGGTTTTCGATTTGCAGTGGACAACCCAACAGAAATGCTTGGAGACATGAATTACAGCGGAGCGGTGAAAACATTGAAATAAAAAATAATCGGTCCATGTCGGGAGATCAGTTGTGAATTCCAAGCGCTACTTTAGCTAACGAAACATTTCGATGGCAGAAGCAGGCTACCCTGGGGGTGACCTGCTCAACAGACCCTTTTGAACGGTGAGTGTATCCTGTAGCGTGTGAATATTGTCTCGGACAAGTGAGTGTATACGACAGACAAGCGGAGAGAGGAAATGTTTGTAGAAATCAAGAGCGAATGAATATCGTTGATACCCCACAAAATGGTACGTGTACCTACATACATACATTGTGAGTCTTTCTGTGTGTGTATTTATTATTCCTTAATTGTGGGGGCGGTCCCGGTTCACGGCACAAAGATCTTATTTAAGATTTGTTTTTCTTTCCTTCCTGGAAATAGATGTCACAGCTGATCGGCTTGCTGTGATGGTATTAAGACGCTGTATAGAGAAAGAGAACACACCAGGACTAACCGAGGGAGGCTGGGGATGTGCCCATCGGCGGCCCCTGCGAGAAGCCCACAAGGTTACGAAGTACCTTGCCCACCGCACTACCGCACTGTTGATGGTATATGATACTAGCTAAGTATTCAAGATTCGGCCACTTTAGGTTGCTGTTCGGCACATCACCTCACTCAAACGATAAATATTGGGCAGTGAAACGTCAGACATATGTTGACCCCACAACGCACAACACACAACACACGCACCAGTTGCAGGTGCTATCTTCACAACATCCTTATTTGCTTCTCGACGTCCAAGAACATGTCGAAGACAAGACGAAGACCACCACCCCTCAAGAACATGTCGGCCCGGTCTTCACCGGGCGTAGTGGCACAGGTGAGAAAGGAAACAATGTCTTGTAGTCTGAGCACATCAAGTTTGTTTGTACCTACGGATGGATCAAGTTTTTTCTTCACTTTAGATCAGCGCTCACAAACCACCACCATCTTTCTTTCTGCCCCAATCCGTGGTCACACACAAGGAAGGGTCCCTCCCGCTGAAGCCCCTAACACACCTCTCCTGCGGTGCTTGCCCTCGACTTTTAACGCGAGAAGAGCACAAACACACTCCCTCGATTGCACGAGGGTTCCACACATCCTACAGACAGACTATTATCTGGGCGTTCGGTCTTTTCACTTTCGGCATTATTTTCTGTATAGTCTATTGTTTGTTGTATTTCAGTCTGGATCTCCTATGTATATAGGTCTGAAAGGTCGGCTACGTTTCTCGCAGAGGCCATTGTACACTGTGGATTGATATGAGTAGAGATCGTTCACCCCGGCAAGTACCCGCGCTTTCTTTATGTGGCCATATCTTTTCTTGCTCACACCAGCTTGGGGGATGAAGACCGTTGGTTGCGGTTTCATCGATACCCCCCGTCCGTGGGTTCAGGCGCGTGCGAGTCTCCATGCATCATTTTCCCCAAGGGGGTGCTAAAGAGGTCAAATTCATGCCATAAAGATAACCTTCTGTACGGACATGTACTGTAGTCTAGCAATAAAAATCCGATTTTTGATTGCCTTTGAAAACATACCAGGTTTGTTTGTAGTCGGCTAAGAGACCGATATAGACGCATGCCATTACAACAGGTACCCTATTTCTCAATTAGATAGACTTCTCGTCGAAAAGGCTAAACTGTTTCTTTCGAGAGGGCTAAACTATTCCTTTATATGATAAGCTATTCCTCGAATGAAGAGTAGACTATTGAGTAGTTCCTCTGAGATCTCTGCAGGTCTCTGTCCGCGCCGCTACGACTGATGCAGTACAGGGACCCGCAGTTCAGAACTATTATGGTAAGTAAGGTGGCCACCAGCCACCAGCCCCTGCGGGACAGCAATCGGGATATAAGTAGTTGGGAAGGAAAGGTGTCAAGTAGTCCTCTTGTGTGCAGCCGGACACAGGCCGCACCGTCGCCACCGTGGTAGACTGCACCGCCGCCGTGCATGATGGACATTACTGTAGACCAGCCTCTTATAATTAGACTTTCTTGCAGACTCATAACGCGAATGCTCTGAAACGTGCAGACGAGCAAATTACATGTACTGCCGCCTGTCGATGGGACGACAATACACAATCCATGCTCGACCGTTAGGGGCGCCTCATAAGTCGCCCATATGGCGGACGATGTGCCGGCACTCTGCTGCTAGGAGGCAAGGCCACAGATGGTGTTGAACTGTTGAACATTCAAACTAAATAGATTTCAAACTTCAAACTTCAAACTTGGAACACTTTTTTTTTCGGTGAAACTTGTGTCGTTTCGCGAGAACCTGCAGACATCGGAAGAACCGAACGTAGATTCGGCGTAGAAGATTGATGTGCATTTTTGAAGTTTGTTGTGCATTTTATGCATTTGGCAGCAGGCGATGGCACCCAACCCGCAAACAGGTGATGGCAGCCAGTCCCCGACAAATTGTAGACACATTCGGAGGATGAATACCCTGTAGTATGTTGATCGTGTGTGTGATCGTACGCCCTGTGTGTATATATTCCGAGTAGGTCAAACAGCGATACACACAAGGAGTCAAGGAGTAAGCGCGTTGAAAATCACCTGATTTTGCGACCATACCGATGTGCACCATCGCCTTCTCGCCAATAAGCGCGACCAAAGCTTGGCGCATTATGCTGTACGGGTCATACTCCCAGCATGTGCGTAACTTCACGCGTCGAAAAGTCTTATTGGGTGAGGCAGAGTGAAAAAATGTCTCGAAAACGTTCAAGGTAACGCGGCTGTGGTGTAGACTATAGTCTAGAGCTGTAGGGCATCCTCATCAAGACATGTGCATTATTGGACCTTCTTGTCCATGTAACACAACAAAAATGTCTACAATTTCGAATAGTGTGCTGCTTGGGAAATCGTGGAAATACTGGTAGCCTCCGCTGACGCTACGGATTCATCACTACTACAGAATACAGTAAATCCATCTTAGACTCTCATCATAAGGTCGACATGGGTTCGCTGTGTAAAAAAAATAGGGTACACATCTCACCGGAGGATCCTAGACTTTACGCTTGTATAGCATCCTGTGCTCGACAGTGGCGACCAAATAAGAAACTGATCCTCGGCCAGATTTGATGTTTGGTATCTCCGGGCCGTTCTATGTACCAGTTGATATTGTTGTATCCTATCCCATACGGAGAGGCGACCGGACAAGGCGGGAAACGTGTGACAAGTCATCTACATGTCTACTCTCAGGCACCTTCGCTGTAAGAACCTTGTACCTGGTACTTCTCTAGACCCTGCGCTATATATGGAATGCATTAATGTGTGCTGCACATCCATGCATTATTCATGGGCTGTTGAAGCCATGCCGAGACCCGCGGGGCATTGCCAAAAGGCAATATTTTCATCAGAACAACTAAATAACACAACTGTATCCTTGTTATTGATGTGTTCTTCATGTTAGTTTTCTATTCGAGGGGGTAATGTAAAAAGCAGCAGATCTGTCGCGTACCTGACGCTTCAATGGAACTCCGACCCTACCAAACAAGCAGATCACGGCAGCAGCTGGAGCGTCATCAACCAATCATCAGGTCCTTCGTGCAAAGAAATTTAGCGACATCCTCAACCGCAAGGACGCTCAGCGGGAGCTCAACCGCCTCTTCCAGCGTATCAAGAATGACAACGATGCCATGAGCCTCCCGGGTGCGCACGTCAAGCTACTCACGGCCGTGTTCGTTGCCATGGGGGGACCCGCGGCCGAGAAGCGGCTATGTTCCGGTATGAAGACCGCGGTGACTCTTCGCGAGAGGCGCAAGGTTGTCGGGACAATCTCGTGCAGTGAGGCGAGCCGCGGCATCGGGTCATACGTGCAAGCGTTGCTGAAACGCGGCGACGAAAATGGGCGGCACGGCGGAGATGGGCTGCAGGTCTTCATGCCGGAGCTGGTGCTGGAGTTGCTCCCTGAGAGCACCAGCTTCATGAGCAACCCCGGGCTTAGGCGCGTGTTCGAGGCTCTTGTCCGTGAAGCCGATATCATTGCGACCGGCAGCGGCAACAACACCAGCAGCGCGAGCAGCAGCAGCAGCAGCAGCAGCAGCAGCAGCATCAACAACAACGACAGCAGCAGCAGCAACAGCAGAACCAACAGCCTCGACAATCAGGTACATGCATAGGAAGAAGAGCTCTCGAAGGAGGAGTGTATACAATGGATGCGATAGGAGGCTAATCGTTACACAACTTTGGTCACTGTATCGTCTCCAAGCAACAGTATACCACGCAAACATACACCAAGCTATTGGCACAGTACAACAAGAAAAAACCTGTGTACGACACAGTACTGTAGTATCAGGTACATCGGAGGACCTACATTCCAATTGGATGAACGTTTGAAATCCGAGCAAACATTGCACCACACTGTCGATGAGGTTTCAATCAATGACTGTCAGTCGATTTACCCACAGACGACAACTTCCTAGGTAGGTGAATAGCATATTCGTCCGGCTGCCAGTAACTGTGAGCGAGAGGACACTGAGTTGTTACTGTTTGATTCCAAGCGTGACCCAATGACTACGGCGTATGATAGAGCACAGTTGAAGTCTGGAGAGCTCAGTGGCGACCATGATGTTCATGCCAAATGGCTTCTTCTGGCCATATGCCTACATATGCATACACTAGCCCAACATTGCTTGAAAGCGAGACATGATTCATCAACGATAAAGACCTCGTCACTCCACGACGACAAAAAACAGTGCACGTCGCGACCGAGACAAGCGTGTGCTTGTCGTCGTCTAAGGTCTGTATGGCGTGAAATGCGCCGTGCTCTCCCTCACCGACATCATTGCGGACGGTGGAATTTCACCCTCGATTTCACTTTGTAACCGACAGCTTCACACACAAGGTGCGGGTTCGCGGCACAAGCAGCAGCCGCAACTCACGGACAAGACTGTCGTCCGAGAGTCGGACACCGCGGGGAAGGAGAACGAAGTGCATCGGGCCGAAGTCATGGCGCCGGCGGCCGTGGTGGTGAAGGACCGCGAGATCGCTGCCATCAACCCATGCACCACGAGGTCCCCAAATGCGGGGCTAGGCGACCCGAGCCTGTTGAAGGACTCGAAAAATATTCGCAGTTACCACGACATGGTCCTCGAGGCCAAGATTCTCGCCAGCATGGAGAGAAAGAGGAAGGCGGAGCTGCGGGGCATAGCCATGAGGGAGCGCCATGCCAAAACCATCGCAAGGATCCAGGCGAAGCGTGTCGCTACAGAGCAACGCGACTTGGCCCGGCGAAGCACCAGAGAGCAGGAGCAGAGGGAGCAGAGGGAGCAGAGAGAGCAGGGGCAGCAGCAGCCGAAGGAGGAGCAGCAGCAGCAGCAGCAGCCGGAGCCGCAGCAGCAGCAGCAGCCGCAGCAGCAGCAGCAGCAGCAGCCGGGTCCCGCAATAGTCGAAAAGAAGGTGAGCAGGGCATCGAAGAACGAGCGGAAGCAGTTCAGAGTCAATGCACCGTTAACGGCACCGTTTGTCCTCGCCATCACGTTGGTTGTGGGTCTTCCAACTTTTGTAATGATAGGGGGGTGAGGGGGGAAACATCGTCGGTTTTGGTAAAACTGAGGCTGCTGTGATACCTAACCGACAGATCTTGTACCTGGAAACCTAGAAAGGGCAACAATTACGCCGCCCTTGCCGTTGTTTTTGCTGCCGTGGCCTGGCATGGAGATGGTGACCTCGAAAGTAATACACCTATGATATCCCTAAAATGTCCGTTGGCGAATCGTAAGCTTCCGCGGGGGGTGTTACCACTCTGGCGAGAGAGGTTGCCCGCAGGAGGGCCGTCCAAGCCTGACTCCCATCCCGTTGGTGGTGGGGACCTTCTCGACCTTGTCGTCAGTCTTGCTGCATCTGTCCTCAACATTGTTCATGACTCCGTCCATCCCGATCTCTTCCTTTCTTGTACTCTCTTCTTCACCCCAGCCGTTGTTTCCATTCGTCACCTGGGTCGTCGCGGAACTACATATGTACCACCAATCGCCCCAGCAGGGGCTGTTCAAAGTGTCCTACCCATAAGGATGTATCGCTATTCCTCACAATGTCTCTACCGATGGTCGATGTGCCTCCAGCAGGAGAAGCGTAGATCGGGTCTTGGCACCGAAACTGCTAGTTTGCATTGGGAATGTGCTCGGCAACGGCCTCGGGAACCTCGGCTTCGAGCTTGTTCAAAGATTACCTTTGGAGGTCATTGAGAGTTCCATATAACCGAGTTTCGAGTAGTTTCAGAGGAACATAAAATTCAAGGTAGAACCGCTAGTTTGGACCCGGGGACCTCACCGGGGCTAACGGGCCACTAATTTTCTTTGGCTGTCACTCGCTGCACAATAATGAGCCGCGGGGGGGAGAGGCAGAGAGGGTAAAGGCTTGCGTTTGGCACGACGAGGGTCAATTGGTTTGTTGGGGATGTCGTTCGTGTCACTATTTGTCGCGTTTTCTAAGACGCCTTTCGTTTTGGTGTGGTCGTTGTTACAGTTAAGATGAACCAAGAATCATTTCCATGTTTCCTGCGTTCAATCCTTACTACACGCATAGAGATTTTTTGCGTTTTGTTTTGGGTATTTTTCAGTTTTCAGTTATTGGGACGCAATATCACCAGATGTGCCGCACAAATGTTAGATACTTCGGGAATGGTGTACGTAGCCGAATCACTACATCTTACATGCAAGCGGGTAGTATCTTGTTTGCACTTAGCCTGAAAGGTGCTCCCGTCACCACCGCTGCCGCCGCCGCTATCCCAGGAGCCCCCTGCCTACAGCCCGATGGGTAGCTTCTTCTACCCTGCCCTCAGCGAGAGGAGCCTCATCGCGTTCGTCAAGGAGGTCGTTTCCCCGACAGAGGTGTGTCGAGTATTGGCATCGACCGGCCAAAACAGTCCGTCGAAGCAAGGTGTGCCTGTGTGTGTCCATCCTGTTTGCGTGTTCTTAGGTTTTGGGCGGGAAAGATGCTTTCTGGCTACTCAATAAACTAAACGTGTCTCAGCGGGAGGGCTAAAAACGAACGTGTGACACGTGTATGTGTATGTCTTGAGTATCCCAACGTGTTTCTTCTCAACAATATCGCGCTTGCTGTCTTGTAAACGCGAAGAATACGCAAACACGATATTAGTACCGTCCAGCCAATAATGAAGGGTCATGCTTTGTGGAACAACCACAGGTGGGACGAGCCGTGAAGGCCATCCGTCTGGGCCGAGTCGACGCCAAGAGCTTCTTCTGGTTGACGAGGGGGTTCACTTCGACCAAGGCAACCGAGCTGCTGGCGGAAAGAGGGGGGCGGTACGCCGGGCCTCGGCCAGCGTCGCACACGTCAGCCTGCACGGGGTCCCCGTTCTTCTCTTCTGGCCAGGGCATCACCAGCCTCCTCAGCTCGGTGAGTTTGTTTAGCATACCCGCCTCCGTGCTCCAACGGTATCGTATTCGTAGTGGCATTCCCATGAGTGGAGCCTTTCGCTTGAGGTCTTTGGTATTTACCCCCGACTCTCGCCGTTTCATGGGAATGGTACCGGTGGCGGAAATTTACCCTATGCGATCATGGCGCCCTGTTATCCGCCTGTTCCCCTCGTTCAGGTTTCCGCCAACGGCCGCGTCGGCGACAGATTCGTCCTTTGCTTCTCCGACGGCGTGGACGCCTGTGCGCAGATGATCACCGGGTGCCTCGTAGCGACCGACGGCAGCGGCGACTGCAGCACCGGCAGCAGGTACCACGACGATAACACCTACCACCTCGGGGGAAGCTCGCCACCCCCGTGCTCCGCCATCATATTCGGAGAGAGCTGCGAGCGGGCGGGTAGACCAGCGGGAGAGAGGGACGGGATCAACGGCGCCGGCGCTAGGGTCTTGAGTGTGTTGGACTGGGTGAGCGTCTACGGGGAGTGCTCGGAGTCCCTCCTCTGCGCGTGGGTGTACCGCGGAGAGGCACAGGCGAACGAAGCAGACGCCGCGCCATAGAAGCCAAGCGATTCGGCAGCGAAATGATCCGCTCCGGCGGACTAGGTTGAACCAATATTGTGGTGGTGTTGGTGCGATGGATTTCTGGGCCGAATGTTGCTGCCATTGAGGTATTACGTGCAATTGGGTTGGATGGAAAAAATTGAAATTCTGGCATCCTGGGAGAATTGCCTTCATTGATGCGGTGGGTTGTACATGTTGTGTGTCATTGTAGTGATTGCGTGTTGAGTATATGGCGTGGCACCTTAGGAGAAACCACATTTTATGCCCCTTCCTGCTGTTTGGAAAACACCCGTGGATATTTGTGCATCTTGATTGCGATACCTTGTCCATACAAGTACGACCGTGTATTTTTCTTTCGTCAATGAAGGTCCCGTGGTTGTTTTATACGTATGTTTTGTCCAACTTGACTACTGTATGTGAACATGCGAACGTTTAAGAACGCTGCACACGACTAGGTGGAACGTCGTTTCAGTTTCCCCTGGTTTGAGCATTGAGATTGCCCACGATTGCGTTAAACCAGAACTATGTGGTTTGTTGGGGGCATCTGGCTTGGTCGCGTGGATAAATCGAGAAGCGGACAAGATGGGATCAAGGAAGCGGTCGTTCTTCGTCAACACAGTAGTTTGTTTACCGACGCGTCAAGAGCAGCATCCCCAGCAAAATCATAGAAGTACAAAAACGATACGACGACGAAACCGGCCCATATCCAAGCGCACTCCCACGACGGTATGAGGAGACCCAACCAGTGCGCCTGGGGAAAAACAAAACTGAATTCGTACCGTCAATATCCTTGGGCAGCATACAGTATGGTGTCAACACCCTCGGCGACGTCTGTAAACGAGGGAGACATTCAAACCCACGTCGATAAACAAGCATACGCTCCCCGTCGCAAACATCAAATGGAAGAAATCACTGTAGCTGGTTCTCCAACCTGTCGAAGAAATGGTAATCTAGGTTGAGACAATGAGATGGCAACACGAAGGCACCACGTCAAGAGAGTCTTGACGCAAGAGTACACATGTAACCGCGCCACATTGGCGAAGTACAGTCCTCGGGTTCCCATTAGTGGCTCTTGAGGCTGTCGCTCGCCTCATATTCGAAGCACCCACAAGCTCAAGGGAAGCATGCCGATGAAAAACGGCATTGGAACTAAAATAACATGATTGCCTTATGCCTTATGCTTTGATTCCGACATTTTCTCTGGACGCTTTCCGAGAAGAAAACACAAGGCAGAAAATGGATATTTTCACCAGCCTTGACGCAACTAACGACTACGACGAAAAGAACGACAACGACCCACACTTCCGTCGCAACATGTTTCCATGGATGGATTCAGCTTCGAATCCACGGTCATCGCCCGACATCGTCGAGGTAGCACTTCATACAATTGGAGCGATTCACCGGAAAGACGTTCGATTGTCGACTTTCATGACTTGTCGAGCATCAAGTTGTTGTCAGTGTACTCAAGCAGCAACAAAACACATGCCCGTTGATATGATTAGAACCACAAACGCGCCTTCAACTCCCGGGGCCGTTCGTCCCCCAGGAACAAAAAAAACAAAAAAAAAACAGTCCCAGTTCTGTGATGGGCAGGGCAACGCTGTCTACATCCGGCGCTCCCTCCCAACTCCATGTCTAGAGGTTGAACGGCAAGGTAACGGCCGCTCAAGCTTGGTCTAGTGGTAACCTCGAAACCGTTTGTGGGAAAGTTCGTGAGTTCGAATCTCCATGGGGCGAAAAATTACTAATTGCGGGTGAAAGCGAAAAAGCTGAAAAGCTTGCGAGTACCAACGACGTTAGCACCGTTGACGAGGGAAAGGGACAGCTGGACCGTGCTCGTGACAAAAAATAAAACCCAGTACGCACCGCAGGAGGAAGGTGGGGTACGAAAATATAATAAAAAGAAGCAAGAAGCCCCGGCGGTACCTCCCTCTCACCACGAAAAATGGGGGGACTGCCGCCATAACAAATAGGACGAAAAGACGCAAACACAAGTTTCGTTCGCTTGCCTAGATGACGTGTCTACCGTGGGATAACCCTTTCGCCGCCCACCACACACCTCTTCTCCTTCGTCGGTGTAGCTCTTCACAACGTCTCGAAGGCTCGAGTACCAAGACACTGATCTATCAGGAACAACGGCTACCCGAGACCTCCCCTGTGCTATGTGCGCTGCTGGCTCAAGCACCTGTTTTGTAACTAAGAAAATAGGTCGTGTGAAATGGACGGGGCGCTAACTCAACGCGAGTGGGCATCAGGGTCTTCGTCGCTGACAGCGCGGTGGGCTTTTCGCGCATGGACGTTACAATTGCACCTATTATATTATAATCCACGTACCCGTCTTCCAAACCATGCCAAACGCAGGACACTCACAACCGAGGCGTGGCTCGGCAGCTGTCACAGCCGACTAACTCCGCCACGAGTCACACTTAGTAAGGAGGCCGGCCACGCGACTTCGGCGATGGGTTGGTTGAAGTGATATCCAAACGATAGCTGCTGCAGGGAGGTCGGCCACACGACTTCGGCGATGGGCTGGTTGAATTCGTCTCCAAACCACAGCTTCTGCAAGGAGGCCGGCCACACAGTTTCAACAATCGTCTGGTTGAAGGAATAACCAAACGACAACTCCTGCAGGGAGGTCGGCCACATCGTTCCAACAATGGGCTGGTGGAATCTATCCCCGAAAGACAGCTGCTGTAGGGAGGCCGGCCAAACGACCTCGGCGATGGGCTGGTTGAAAAAATCTTCAAACGACAGCTGCTGCAGGGAGGCCGGCCACACGACTTCGTCAAGAGGCTGGTTGAAATAAAGTCCAAACGATAGCTGCTGCAGGGAGGACGGCAACGCGACTCCTCCGATAGGCTGGTTGAAAGACGATCCAAACGATAGCTGCTGCAGGGACGCCGGCCATGCGACTTCGGTGATAGGCCTGTTGAAAGACGATCCAAACGATAGCTGCTGCAGGGAAGCCGGCCACACGACTTCGTCAAGAGGCTGGTTGAAGTAAAGTCCAAACGATAGCTGCTGCAGGGAGGCCGGCCACTCGACTTCGGCGATGGGCTGGTGGAAGCGATCTCCAAACGACAGCTGCTGCAGGGAGGCCGGCCACACGACTTTGTCAAGAGGCTGGTTGAAAAAAAAACCAAACGATAGCTGCTGCAGGGAGGTCGGCCAAACGACGTCCGCGATTGTCTGCATGAAGGCAAGTCCAAAGGACAGCTTCTGCAAGGAGGCCGGCCATGCGACTTCGGCGATGGGCTGGTTGAAGTGAGCTCCAAACTCTAGCTGCTGCAGAGAGGCCGGCCATACGACTTCGGCGATGGGATGGTTGAAGTCATCTCCAAACGATAGATGCTGCCGGGAGGCCGGCCACGGTTCCATGCTCACGAGCGTATCCAAGTCGAATACCATCCATTTGAGCCTTTGAAGCAAAAAAATCGATCCTAGGCTTGCTGCAGATGTATGCCCGTTCATCTGCCGATATTCTGATCCTGACCGCTGCTCAATGGCAGAACTCTGCTGTAGACGCTCCATCGGAAGTGCCCACGTCAAACCGAGAGCCTGCACAGCCGGCACGCGACTCGAGATGCAACCCTCTCGACTGCGCTTGTCGGCTGTGGTAGGCGATGTGCGCAGAGACCACAAGCTCCGAGGAGTTTGTGGATAGACACATACGTGCAAGGTCGGCACATGTCTGCACGCGCCACAAAATTCCAGCGATACAAGCTGCAGCTCCAGCGTAGACGCATACCACCGCTTGTCCCCATCGCATGTCCGGTTCAAGACGACGATGAAGGCGTGCAGGCTCTTGCTTCGTCCTGAGATGTTTAATGGCAGGTACGCATGCAGGCACGTCAACGAAAACGTGTTGTGGGCCTTGGGACGGGTCCTTGATGCGCGGCTACATGATTAAAGTTAGAGACAGGCAAGCTAGGTAGTCGATAGTAACGGCCCACAATTAAATGCCAACAGCAGCGCTTGGTAAACACACGAAGAGGTGTCCCTGGATCGATCACCTGTTCGTGTCCTCTGTTCATCTTTGGCGACCTTCCTGCGAAAATTGGTGGAGTTGGGGGCACACGCACTATTCAGGTAGGCCGCTACAAGACAACGAAAAAAAACAGACAAGTTGTTTTTTCGCATTCAATGTTGATAAAGGGAGTCTGTTGCATGCAGCTGGGGTCATTCGTGAAACAAAGTCACTACGCAAGGCAAGAAGCTCCCCACCACCATTCTCAGCAATGCTGGGGCAACAGGTCTAAGGCCAACTCTTATCGAAGGAAACTAATTCCTCTACGAGACCGGTACAGCATCTAGAGGTCCCACAGAACGGCAAAAGAAAATGTGAATCAATGGTCACGTTCACTCCGAAGCTCCGAACCACGCACTTTTCTGAGCCGAACGCCCGGGGCACGAAGAATCAGACCATCGGCCGTCCTGCACTACTTCAGACGCCCTCAGCAAGGTTCCGCTTGATTGGTGCCTCCTGCGTACGTTTAGCTGTGTCCGTGACCGGCCTTCTCAAGCACGAAACACGAGCATGCAGCAGGTGCTTCCGGCACCAAATTGCTCCGATCTCGATGGATTTGTTCCTAAACGTTGCCTATCCTCCACCAAGATAATGTCCCGTCCAATCTACAGCTGGATTGACATCTCCTTCGACGCTGGAATAACTGCGTGTCTACCAATATCGCCTGCCAACGAGAGGGTTGGGCCACATCGTTTTAACCTCCCGACGCGGAAGTATGCTCCGCCGCTTTTCGCACGCACATCAACAACTCGACAACTTGATGATTGATGACTCTCTCTTTTCCTCGTCGGAACACATCCATCCATGCACCCCTTGTACAACCACTCCGGATCTCGAACAAGCGCGCGAGTATAGCGCCTACCTGCCATCAAATTCGAATCTACTTGAAGTATACGTTACCCACTCCGAGACCGGGGTTAGCCCGCCAGCGACAGGCACACTTCGTTTTCACCTGCCCCGCCAGGCTGCT